TTCATTAAATTAAATAATTGATGACTTAGCAGTTTGAAAATACTCATTGAGAGAGATTCCCACTTCGGGTAAGAAAAACAGCCTTACCGTACAACAAATACATAAATACCGGTAATTAAAATGAGACAAAGCAAAGTTGGAAATAATACAGAAGAGGATTCGGGCTAATGAAGGAAAAAAAACAAAAACTGTCATGATCCTGTCTTGTTTGTCTGTGAAGGGCGTGTCCCTCCAGTAGGCACACTTGTGCCATGTTTTCTAATCAAACCTTGCCATGTCTTTCAGAACTGCCAAGATGCCGAGTGATTGTCGGATTATTAGCCTTGCTCATGACCCTGTCTCCAAGTGCTGAATTTTTTAGACGTTCTTGACATTTTTGCCTCATAGCCTTGCCCTGTGATGTCATAATATTTTTGTTCTTGTATTTTCCTTGTTATGTATTCTCGGTTTATGTTCTTTCTCTTTTGGATTCTCTCGTCCTTTGAGTTGACAAGCAATTTCCGTTTTTCTGGCTCCTTGCTTTTTGCGAGCGTTTTTGGTTTCTGCTCGTCTTTTCCTCCTCCTCAGTCACTAGTTGCACTTTGCCGGTCTTGCCTTTTTTTTTTTTTGTTTTTTTTTTTAAATAAATAAATATATTTTTATCTCTGTCTATGCATGTGGAATCCGGACTTCTTCCGACCACCCGACAAAAACACAATTGGCAAGAAGTCAAAATTTTGAGATAAAAGAAGCTTGCCAACTTTGTTTTCTTTCATTGGCCCTAATCTTCTTCTGTAGAAATAAATGCAATGAAATGATCATAAAATAAAACAAAAGCAGTTGAATTTACTTTTCTAAAATATTATTGTTCTGAGCAGCCCATTGGTACACAGGAAGGCCGTTGCATGAACGTGGACCGTAGTGACAGAAAGCTACCTAATTGTGTGTTTTAGTTCTCACTCTGAGCATTGTTGAAAGACCAGTCGTCACTCTTTGTGTTCTGTCGTTTTTTTCAAACCATTCAGGTGGAGAAATAATGGTCTCAACAACTCGTCCGGAGACTATGCTGGGAGATGTGGCCGTAGCTGTTCATCCTGACGACCCTCGATACCAGGCTAGAAATTTTGGATTGAAATTTCGATGCATTGGAATTGTGGATAACTCAAAATGAGGCGTACACGCAAGCTGTTATATTTGAAGAATGTACTCAAACTCCGGCCTCCCTGTGTGGGGTTTGCATGTTCTCCCCGGGCCTGCGTGGGTTTTCTCTGGGTACTCCAATTTCATCCCACATTCCAAAAAACATGCACGACAGGCTGATTGAACACTCTAAATTGTCCGTAGGTATAAATGTGAGCGCGGATGGTTGTTCGTCTCTGTGTGCCCTGCGATTGGCTGGCCATCAGTTCAGGGTGTCCCACGCCTACTACCCGAAGACAGCTCGGTTAGGCTCCAGCACACCCTGCGACCCTTATCAGGATAAAGCGGGTCAGAAAATGGATGAATGGGCGGATAATCAAATGGGAGAAAATCCCGAAACATTTACGGTGCATTTAGTTTTACTTGTTTTTGTTCCAGGACTTTCATGGGAAGCAATGCCGCCATCCCTTCAATGACAGATTGTTGCCCATCGTCACTGATACAATTGTGGCCATGGAGCTCGGCACAGGTCCGCTGACTATTGTAGAAAATAAAATAGCCCACCATTCATCAGAGCTTCAAAGCAGTTTTCATAATTCTGTTCAAAGTTCAAGTGCAGGGCAAGACTCTCGATTTCTCTGGATTTTTTTGCCGTCTTTCTGACTTTAGGTGCGGTTAAGGTGACGCCTGCTCATGACCACACAGACTTCCTTTTGTCACAGAGACATGTTCTGCCACGCCTCACTGTCATTGGAGGAGATGGGAAGATGACTCCACTCTGTGGACAATGGCTGGAGGTGCAGGAACTTTGCTGTCATTACTGCCGTATTCCATTAAAAAAAGCTTTATAGGAATGTAATCGGTGACGATTTATTCTATCATACTTCAAAATATGAAACCTAAACATCGAGTAACAATTCTTCATTTCATGCCCCCTTGGGTGTTTTAAGGGAGTGAAGCGTTTTGACGCCAGGCAGCTGGTAGTCAACGCTCTGGTTGAGAAAAAGCTGTTCAGAGGAAAGAAGGAGCACGCCATGACCTTACCTATTTGCAGGTAAACCAACACCGTAAACTGTCCGGCCACATCATTAACTTCCCCGCACAGTCTTTAAGATTTAAAACAGCAATAATATTTAAAAATAAATAATTCAAACGTCAGACGTATGACACTGCCCAGTTTTTAAATTTGTCATATTAACCCTTGCATGCACGCCTGTATTCTGATAACATGATAAGCTGTCCACTGTTGTGACCGCTGTCCCTGAAAGGGTTAACCTAACGAAATCTGTATTCACGACTTGTAATATCTCTTTCGCTTCATTGCGCTTTGACAGATGCTGCTATATACCAAACAAATGAAACATGTTTTGTGATGACACAAGTTACTGACCATCAAGATTGAATGTCTCCACATGGATTTTAGTATTGTGGGCTGATGGGAAATCATCAGAAGACAGTTTTGACAGTTTTCGCCGACAATAGACAAAATGGCATAACAACATTCGTAGACCTCTGTGCAGCACAGCACGCATATAATTTTTTTTTTTTTTTTTACTGTAACAACATTGATCATAATCTCAGCCATTAAGGTACCAGCTAAACATTGGTCTGTTATATTTACAGGCATACTGTATATATTATCTTCTAGCGACAAAAAAAAAAAGTGTACCCACCTATCCATTCTCTGTACCTGTTATATATGACTATATTTATTTAAAAACTTGGTTTTATCTTGCAGCAGTTGAGTTTTATTTCTCTGCACGTCAGATGAAGAGCCGCCACGGCTCGCTGGGAAAAACTGTCGCTAAAATCTACGTCCTGTCAATAGAAGGCGTAAACAGGTTATGTTAAACTGGGTGTAAAACACTGACCTGAAACACGGAAGATTAGACAGGGACAGGGCATAAACAATAGCGGCATCCTGATTAAATTCCATGCAAGTATTTTGTGTCAAGAACTCGGGAGTCCCCAGATCCTGTCATGTTGTAGCCACAAATACCGATTCAGCACCCGCTTTGAGTGAAGCCAGTTTACTGGGCTCGGTGGATGGATCTGGGGTGGGGATTAACAAACTGTACATTTTGAGAAGTCAAGTTGTTTTTAATCAGGTTTTTCAAATTCCTTTCCGCATTTCTAAGCCGCTCAGGGGACGTGATCGAGCCTCTTCTGAAGAAACAATGGTTCGTCCGTTGTTATGGAATGGCTCAAAAAGCTATACAGGTAAGCTAATGATGGTGATGTGATTCTTATTTCTTTTTTTTTTTTTTCCTAGCCTGGTAGTAGTGGTGCTGGCTGACAGCCAAAACGCTCAGTGTCACTCACTCTTTTTATTGTCAGGCTGTTGAGGATGGTCATCTTCAAATCACCCCTCACTTTTATACTAAAACATGGAAAAACTGGCTGTCCAACATCAGGTAGGCTGACCCTGACCTTTGACCCCCATTGACAAACTTCCCATAATGTCACTTTTGTTGAAATGTGAACAGCTGTTTGTCATCTATTGTTTGCCGATGAGTCTGAAATAACACAATTCTTGTGATGAATGCCTCCTTGTTTCATTGTATGCGAGTGAACAATGCAGTTCTGTTTGCTTTACAGTGACTGGTGCATTTCCAGGCAGCTGTGGTGGGGGCATCAGATCCCAGCTTACAGAGTGGAGTTTCTGCACTCTGCGGACAAACAAGAGGTTGGGCATTGCTATCACGATGGCCACCGAACTGCACTGTCATGTCCCAAGGCACCGCTGTGTCTTTAATACTGCATGGGAGACTCAAAAATATTTGGTCCTTAGTACGATGCGGTACAATTGTGGTTTGCTCCAAAGAAAGTCCATAAAGCTACAGGGTTTATTCCTTGGCCAAAATACAAATGGCATTACAAAACAAGAAATCAAAGACAAAAGTTAGGAAGACAATTGATTCAACAGAAAGGCACACAAACCTCGTGGGCTCACATCCACGAGGGGCTAAATATCCTGAGAAATCTTGCTTGTCTCCTTATTCCTTCGTCTAGTCAGTAGTTAAGTCTGCTTTTGGTATGATCTTCGTTTCAGAATGGCTGCGCAGAGCTCACAAAGTAATTGTCTTTTCGAGGGTGTGTTGGCGACTGCACATGTCAATTCATGTCGGGCAGAACCCTTTTAGGTTCCAATTGGTTCCTGCTAATAATCACCACTTGATGGCATACGAACACACTAACATGGAAACAACTCAATGGGGAATATAAAGAGACTGTAACACCATACATCAGGCGCATTGGATTATAGGGGGCGCTCTCGGCGTTTGAGAAAATTGAATACTTATAGTGCTGAAAATATAATGTGTGTGTGTGTGTGTGTGTGTGTGTGTGTGTGTGTGTGTGTGTATCGCAAGTGGTCATTAAGATGTAGAAGTTGGTGAGCAATACGGTAGCGGTGGTGCAGTTTTTGTCCCATCCAAAGGGGGAAGCATCATTGTTTCTGTTTTTGTTAGGACCAGTGGGTGTGGGGAAGTAACGAAGATGAGGCCCGTCAGAGAGCAACTGTCAAATATGGAGTGAAACCACAGGACATCAGTTTGACTCAGGGTACCCTCGCCTCTTTAATCCCATTTCCACATCGTATAAAATGAAATATTTTGTGTTTTCATTGTCAAAACTTGCTTAGGATACCAGGTGATTCGAACATTGCCAACAAAGTGTGCCTTTTTTTGCATCAGTTTTAGTCATTTATTCTGAATCATGTGCACACTTTTTGAACAACAAACAGAAAAGTTTACTTTGTCATCATCTCATCATAGCCATATCTTACCACGAACTACAACAAAAAAAAAAAACACCGGTTAATGTGTCTTGATTCTATTAGTCTTGTTTTAATTAATTTGCACATCATGCTGCATGAGACTGTGCAATTTATTGAAATTCAATTTCGATTATTACACTCAACAATTACAAAATTTACCACATTTTCCACACTAAAAGGCACACCTAAAAGCCTTCCATTTTCTGAAAAGCTCACAGCGCGCCTTAAAATCCGATGCGCCTTGTGTATGGTCATTAAGGTAATATGTCGACCCCAAAATGGCTCCTTGCTAGAGACATGCTTACAACGCAGAGTTCAAAGGTGATCGGTTTCGCAGTTGAACACACGGAAATAGAGCAGCGGCAAGAGAGTTCAACGTTAACGAGTCAATGTTCTAACTTGCTGTTGGTTAAGTGAACTGTGTCGCTGCTTTATTAAATAAATTTTACTGCTATATAAATCATCAATCAATTTCCTTGAGCGTAGCTCCATCTGGTGGATGCATTGTAGATTGCGTGTTATAATGCTGTGTGTCCAATATATGAAAAACATTACAAAATAGGCCATTCATTGAAGGTGCGCCTCATAATCCAGTGCGCCTTTTAGTATGGAAAATACGGTAATCATAAAAATGATTCTTTTATATATATATATATATATATATATATGTAAAACAATGTTAAATTGTATTCATTTTACAATGTCAAATACTACAGTGAGCATACTTTGGGTTCAAAATTTGCACTTGAGACATCAATTGAAATTATTTAAATGTTAGAACAGTTCTTGCTATATACTTGTAAATAAAAGTATATATCAAGTAAACTCTAAAGCATGATGTGAACTTATATAAGGAAACCATACTTAAGTTTATAAACGTGCACTTTTTTTTTTTTTTTTTATGGTAAATGTTATAAATTTTGTTTGGTCCAAAAGATACTTACAAAATTATAGCGCTTCAAAGAATTTGATTTGTCTTCATATTTTTTATGTTTAAATATTTTCTTGTCTTGTACCCAAAATAAATGATCGATTGAGTATTTGTGATTTCGATTATTACCAAAATAATTGTGAGTAACCCTTTCATGCACCCTGTAATCTGATAACATGATAAGATGTCCACTGCACTATCCGCTGTTCCTGAAAGGGTAATTTTTTTTTTTTTCATAATCGAGCAGCCCCAATGTCACAATATTTAGGCCACTGACTGTTGCCATGGAGACTGAATACCCCAAAATTGCAATGCAAGGCAGCGCAGACTTTCCCTTTCCTAACAGTACTATTTCAAGTTGAACTGCACTGCATACTTGCATTTGCAGAAATGCTGCTACCCCAATCTGGATGCTCACAGCGCATAAACGATCAGATTCACAAAGGGAGCAGCAAAGATTCTCTATTGAAAGCGACAAACATTTGATTTATAGAGAAAGTGGAAAAATTGAATCAAATATGACAGTCATTTGTATGGTTAAATCTTTTTTTTTGTGTGCATGCTGGGTGGGTCAGACACTGATGTTCTGGATACCTGGTTCTCCTCGGCGCTGTTTCCTTTCGCTATGTTGGGCTGGCCTCAACAGGTACCGCATCTCCTCCAGCTGCACGTCATTATGAATGACATCACTGATGTCAAAGACTAACCACACCCTCTTTCTGCAGACTCAAGATTTTCAGCGCTTCTACCCAAACTCCATCCTGGAGACAGGCAGTGACCTAATCTTCTTCTGGGTGGCGAGGATGGTAATGTTGGGTACGGAGCTGACAGGCCAGTTGCCTTTTAAACAGGTACTTGGGCAATGAGTTGCTCATATCTGATTTGATTTGATCTGATCTTCATTTATCTTGTACAATCAAAGCATATAAAAACTCAATAAAGAAATGATCTCAGACGCCTAAAAATAATAAATATGTATAACTACAAAGCACTAACTTTCCATTGATAGCAGCAATAAATAAAAAAGACATATCACAAATAAATCACTCTCCTCAACATCTAAACAAAAATATTTGTTAAGTCACAGCCCCCATGGGCATCGACAAAATATTTTCTGGCCATGCCCGCCATCAGCGATCATTGATAAAAGGAGATTGTGGTGTGATTGATGGTCAACCTGGGAAAAGTTCTATCTGCACATTTAACTTACGCCCAGCTCTAAAAGCTGCTGCAAGTTCTCCCCAGAACAATGTTTATATTGTCTCCCAAAACAACAAATTTCAGTCCATCCTAAGCTTCTGTCATTTATGTATGAAATAAACAGTCCGGGTCCCAAGATTGACTCCTGTGGGACACCTCAACTAATGTTGAAGCACTTTGACTTGTGATTATTGAACTGAACAAATGTCTTTCTTTTACTAGTATAGAATTTTAGCCAGTTAAGTGCCACCCCTCTAATACATAAGTCTTCATCTTTGTGACTTAAAATCTCATGATCCTATTTAAAGTTTTTTTTTGTAAATGAAAATTCCCACCGTATATTTATTGTTTTCTATAGATCCCGTTATTTCCTGGAGTAGCTCAATTAATGCCGTGGAAGTTGATCAGTTTGATCTCAAACCACACTGGTCATCTTTTCAATGAAATTGTCCAATCTCTCAATGAACATTTTCCCAATATCTTTGTGCATATCAAGGAGAAAAGCCTGCAAATGGTAAACAGATGTTTATCTCCAGCTTTATAAAAAAAAAAAAAAAAAAAGAATAACTAGCAAATTTTATTTTGTTAGGAAATGTTCATAATGTGAATGACAAATACGTGTTCATAGCTCAACAATTTCCTCAGTTATATTCAATCTCATGGACGTATTGTTTCCATTCCCATCAGTGGAAGTTTTATGTCTTTGTTTACAAAAGCTATAATTTCCTTTTTCTCACAGGACAGCGAGTCTGTGTAACTGTCTCCATTGTCTTTCTCTGCAAATTTCTTAATATGTTCCATATTCCTTTGGATTTGTTTCGTGTGTTCCATATTCAAAATGGTATGCGAAGCTTTTTTTTTTTTAACCCGTTGTTTCTGCTTCTTGATTCTAAGGTGCTACTTCACTCTCTGGTAAGGGATAAACACGGTCGGAAAATGAGTAAATCGTTGGGAAATGTCATCGACCCCTTGGATGTTATCCACGGAGCTTCCTTGGAGGTGTGTAACATAACAATCTTTCAGTTGTGTTTTATTCGCTATAAATAAGAACAGTTCAAATGCTGAGACAGTCCAAATATATGCGAAAGACCAATACTGCATTGACTTTATGGCTTTCCCGCGTTTAGTTGCCGTTGTTTTGTGATGATTACGTTGACTGTCCTAACATGAACGGTCAGTGGTTAGAAAAACACTCTGGTACCTCTTTCTTAATTCCCCTTACATAAATAATACTAATCTCTTTGTAAACTTCTGGATTTCAAAAACGAAAGCCAGTGTGAGTAAAATCAATATAATATGTGATTGTACAACATCCGATTATTGGCACATATATTCTGCGTCAATCTTTTAACTCAGACCAAGAACTCCTTTTGATTGTGACATTTCTTTCTGGAACAAAGTCCGTTTGACAAGCTTCCATAATAGACAAGTACCGCATGTTGCGCAAAGACCGTTCAAAGATTCATTTCTATTTAACTCATTTACACCCTTTGACGTATAAATACGTCAATTAGCGCATAGCCGTTCCCTCCCAATGACGTATTAATACGTCAATCACGTTTTTTCATGGGGGAGGGTGCAAGAGAGTCTGATGCAACTTCTCACCAAAGGATTAGGCTTGACGGCAATGTTAAATAGCAAAAAAATGGCCATCGGGTAGCAGTGGTGCAAAAATCCACGAGGATCACGCAGCAGAAGTAGTAGAAAGGGCGTATAGTGGAGGAGGGGCGTATGTGGATCGTGGATTGGAACGTTAGCAACTAGCAACGATGGAGAAAAGGAAACAACTAACTAAAAATGATTGTTTTTTTCGGTATAAAAGCGTCCTCGAAACAAAACAACAAAGGAGATGACGCTTTGGTCACGTAATCGAAAGCAGCACACGTCAAACGAACGTCAGCCTGCGCAAACATGGCGTGCTACACTCGGCCCGCATAGCTCACGCCGAGTTTCGAGCTCATCTGATGAAGATGAACATGCTCCACGTCAGGGACCATCGCTTGGTAGAGCATTTTGTGCCTCCCCGTGGCGCACATTGCCCACAAATCGTCTCCCCGGCGACTTCCAGCGATGACGGCAAAGAGGCTGCATTGCTTCGCATGGCCGACGCCGGGCACACGTCAGCGATTCGCTGGAATCATCTCGTAATGACGACGGCGAAAACGATGAATTGGAGAGCGATTTGGATCCCGATCTGTCGGACGAATACGTGCCTTCGGACATAACGGAAAGCAGCTGAGAGTTCTCGCCAGAGCCGCTGGAACGAGGAGGTAACTGCTGACTAGCTTGCAAGTTCCCATTCAAAACTTCATCACTTATGCCTCATCAGTCACTTTTATGCACCGCTACATTCCCCGATATATTATAAAGTTGCCAGTAACACTTATCATTTATGTACGGTTGATGCGTCTCGTAGATGTGGATGAAAATATGCGCCGTAAATGTGCTGACTTGCGTGTTGCCATAGGTTTTAAAAAAAACAAAACAAAACAAAAAACAGGACACATTTGGTCCGCTCAGCTCTGCTAAAACCACTAGTGTTCAATTCATATTCCATTTCATTTCAAATTGGATGCTGAGCAACGTGGAATGAATGATGTAAATAGCAGTGTGCGAGCATGTGTGTGTGTGTGTGTGTGTGTGTGTGAGAGATGTTGAAATGTAAGTGGAAAGCAACAATAGAAAAATAAGTGTGGTAATTGTACATACTTCTATAAATTACAGATTGTTCAACCAGAAGCCAAAAGATGACGACTCCTTGCTTTGGTGGTGGAAAGAAAGGTAAATAAAATTATTGTACCTCACTCTGCAGCAAGATATATTTGCAACTTTTTATATTTCTATGATTTATAGGTCGTGCATCTGGATGTGGTGGGATGAATCGATGTGGTGACAAACTGGATGGAGGCCAAAAATCATCCTCTCCACAGCTGCACTTTCGTTCATTTTTCAATTTGCACTTTTGTTCAAAGTTCAATAGTTTTGTTGTGTGCAAATAAATTATTTTGCTACAAAAACAGTATTTGTAATGTTCTTTTGTAGGAGGAACACATTATTGAGGTATTTGAGCTGTCACAAAAGCGTAAAACTTGAAATGATGCTTGAAATGCATGCTTTTACAAAAAGCTCATTTTCTCTGGATTTCTGCAGAAAATCGGCCTTTTCCATAAAACTTAGCAGTTTTCTAATGCTGATTGCCAACGAACGGAGAAAGATAGAAACAAACTTTTTTTTTCTGCTGAAAGAAGAGAGTCTCACCTTTCTTTTGACAGGTTGCATGTATATATAGCCATAGAACAGAAAATTCCGTGGGCCTTGCAAATCAGTCAAAATTCAGTAAAATGTGAGGGATTGAGCGGGTTGCTCCAGTGAAAAGGGGTGGTATTCAATGAGTTAATGTTTCAGTTGACCAAGAAACCGAGAAATGCCACGTCAGCACTTCTGTGAGAACAAGACTGATTGACATGATTGCGTTTTTGTGGGATTCTGCAGGGAGGGGGAGCCGCTTCGAAAACACGAGCATTCACACAACACGAGCACTCGCGCGTCATAATCAGAAGAAATGTCTGTTAGTTACTTCAATCCATAATTACATATTCCAAAGCTAATACCAAAAGGTGCTCAATGGAATGTTTTAACTTGAAACTGACACACAAGAACAACATTGCCGGTGCCCTTTTCTTGAAGAAAACCCCCACCGTGGTCAGAAATTGAATTCACTGACAAGAGGGGAATTTTGCTGAAATGCATATAGACAAAGCCACAAAGCCTCTGGAGGAATGTGCTTTGCACAGATGGCATGAAAGTCGAGCTTTTTGGCAAGTCACATCAACTCTATGTTTACAGAGCAAAAAAAAAAAAAAATGTATAAAGAAAAAAATGTACAGTGAGACATGGAGGAGAAGGCTCAGTTGCGTTCTGGGGCTGCTTTGCCACCACCGACTTGAGTCTGTGTAGCGTTCAAAGGAATCACAAGACTATCAAGGCATTCAGGAACTAATTGTGCGACACAGTGTCAGAAAGCTTTATCTCAGTCATGGGTCCGCCAATAGGATAATGTCCTGAAACTCATGAGAGTAGTCGAAAATTGCCGCCAACAGGTGCTGAAGTCTTATTGAGAATTACTGAAATCATTTGAGGCAGTGAAAAGGTTGGCCAACAAACATCAACATCGTTTTTGTGAGTTTCATTTTTAATTGTGCTGGACCACAAATGAAAACCAGTTCAGTGATTTTTATTTATTCTTTTTTTTTTATGGTAATGTATTACGTTTGTCAGTGTCGTGTTATTTGTATTGGGTTTTTTTCTGTCTTTCTTTACCCCTTTCATGCACCCTGTAACCCACAGGTATCAAACTCAAGGCTTGTGGGCCAGATGTGGCCCACCACATCAGTTTATGTGGCCCACAGAAACAAATCAAACATGTAACTTCCACGATGCTTGCTAAAATCTCAAAGCAAAATGTAAAATTCTCATATGTAATCAATAAGACAGATATTGGAAGTATTTTCTTGTTATCAAATCCCACATTCCAGTAACTTCAACAATCGTTGAATAAACTGTTCTTCTTTTTGTATGGTACATAACGGCCCTCCAAGGGAAACGGTAACTAAAATGTGGCCCACGGCAAAAATGTTCCAGTATAACATGATAAGCTGTCCACTGTAGTAACCACTGTCCCCGAAAGGGTTAATGGAAGGGTAAAACAAAATTTTCCAAGTTCATGTGTGAAAACAGGACATCTAGCAGTAGTAGGTATTAACAAAAAAGTCCACCTCTCTAATGTTTTTTTTCCCTCTCAGAGGCTTCAGCAGAAAGTTAAAGAGGGGAACCTTGACCCGAGGGAGCAAGAGGTTGCCATGGAAGCTCAGGTCAGATCCCCTCGTTCTGATTCGTATTTCCTTTCTGACAGAATGCGTGCGCTCTTTGCCTCCTCATCGATCATATCTAACTCCTCCATCTGCTTCCCTCAGAGGAAAGACTTCCCGAAGGGGATCCCTCAGTGTGGAACCGATGCTCTGAGATTTGCCCTTTGCTCTCACAAAATGATAGGTGAGCGAATGTTGTGCTTCACAAGTCATTCCTCCAAGGAAAGTGTTGCTTTTGCTTTTTTTTTTTTTTTGTTTTGTTGATGTTGCACACTGCAGAGAGAACCAGACCACATACACGAGGAAAGGTGCAATGCCAGGGTGCAAAAAAAAAAAAAGATACTGTGGGAGAGTTTTCAAGGGTGAGGATTGATGTTTTATTGGCTTCTAAAAAAGGCACCTTGACAGGAGTCAGGAAAAAGCAGGCTAAGCGTTCTCCAACAACTAGTGACACTTTGTTGCTGTCCGGAATGGGACTCAGGTTTTAAACTGGTGTTTGGAGAAACATGGAAAGCGTGTTTGGGGAGAAAATGTTTTGTTTTTTTTTTTTTTTTTACGAAAGTAGAATATAAAACACCCATGATTTCAGCTTCTTTAACCCTTTCAGGGACAGCGGTCACTACAGTGGATAGCTGATCATGTTCTCGGGTTACAAGGTGCATGAAAGTGTTAAATAGTAAATCATCACATTTCTATCGCTAATCAAAGTATTTTTGAAGCATGAAAAGTAAAGCCGAAGAGATATTTTCTGCATTCCTGCCCATCCTACCTGACGTGGAGTAAGACTGTTAGAGCCTCATTAGTTTTGCAGGGGATGTCGGAAATTTCAAAGATACTGGCGCAAACAAACAATGAATGTCTTTTTTTTCTTGCTTTTATTTTAGGAGAAGACATTAGTCTATCAGTGTCTTGGGTCCTGAGCTGCAGACATTTCTGTAATAAAATGTGGCAGACGCTGAGATTCACCCTCGGTGTGCTGGGCGACAACACTACTCCAGTGGGGAACCTGGAAGAGGTACAACCGTCCATCCATTTCCTGATCCGCTTTATCATCACAAGGGTCGCGAGGCATGCTGGAGCCTATGCCAGCCGTCTTCGGGCAATAGGCGGGGGGGACACCCTGAACCGTTTGCCAGCCAATCACAGGGCACACATAGAAGAACAAACATCCGCGCTCACTTTCACACCTAAGGAAAATTTAGTTTTTCTTTAGTCTGCCATGCATGTTTTTGGAATATGCGAGGAAACCGGATTACCCGGAGAAAACCCACGCAGGCAGCCTTTGCAAATGTTGAGCAACGAGAATCAGAGGAACACATTCCCTACTTCGGTTTTGAATCGGCCAGCAGGATACCTCTTATGTAACTGTTCATGCTGTGTTGTGATTGTAAAAGCATGATGGAAAAATGACCGCATGATTTTTCCTGATGCAGATTATTGTGAGTCTTCACGTATGTTTCAACAGTAGGGTGACCCTAGTGGCTCTGTTAAAACTGTGCATTGGTTCAAGGAAAAATTCAACAAAGTACATAAATCTTGCCTCTGGTGAGCTAAGAAATGTCTCCTCATTCAAAAAAAAAAAAAAAAAAAAAAAACAACATCCTAAAATAATGTTTGTACTTTTCCATTTCTGAACATGAGGTGTCTCATTTGAGCAGTATGGACCGGTGGATCTGCTCCCGACTTTACAGCACTGTAGCACAAGTCGAGAAGGCCTTTGAAGAATATGAGCTGCATGCTGTCACTGCTGCTTTGTACTCCTTCTGGATCCACAATCTGTGTGACGTCTACATGGTGAGACACACACACACACACACACACACACACACACACACACACACACAGGCACAATTACCAGTATTGTACAACTCATTGTAAACTACAAACGGCAAAGAAGGCAAGATCCACCCATCCATTTTCCAATCTGCTGGAGTCTATCCCCGTCGTCGTCTGGCAGTAGGCAGATATACACCCTGAACCGGTTGCCAGCCAATCGCAAGATGACTTTTTTTTTTGTTGTCCCATTGTATATGTCCCTTTGTAGGAGAGCGTGAAGCCTGTGCTACTCAAGCAAAATGAAGGGTTGAAGCATGATGGCGGCAAAGTGAGACCAGCAGCAAGTGTCGTCCTCTATCACTGCGTGTCCGCATCTCTGGTCCTCCTCTCACCACTCATGCCGTTCCTTACTGAGGAACTGTGGCAAAGACTCCAGCCGTTCAGAACTGATGCTGCAGCCCAGGGGAGCCTGTGTCTCCAGCCTTACCCCCGCTCATCCCAAATGGTACCACCACTACTACTTCTTCGCTATACAAAGCAAAATATACTCTGGATTTGCCAATCATCATTTTTACATAAGATTCATTTAATGTTGTTGGAAAAATAATCCATTTGTAGCAGATGAATTGAAACGAATCATCACATCATATAATCTGCGAACAGTGTTGTACTCAACTCACCTTAACTCAACTGTATTTATAGAGCACTTTCAAACAACCACCGCTGTATACAAAGTGCTGTACATGGAGCAAATATCATATACACAACAATAAATTAATAACGAAGACAATAGAAAGCACAAAACAGTAAAACTAAGATCAAGTCTGAGTCATGCCGAGTCAAAAACAAAAGAATAAAAATGAGTTTTGAGATGCGTTTTAAAGATGGGCAGCGAGGGGGCTTGCCGAAAGTTCAGTAGGAGGTCATTCGAAAGAGAGGGACCAGCAACGGAAAAGACTTGATGCCCCCTGAGCCTCCGTTTAGTTCTTGGTACCTCTACTAATGTCTGGTCCGCAGACCTCAGGCACCGGGCAGGTGGGTAGGGGGCAGAGGAGCTCAGAGAAGTAAGGTGGGGTGAGGCCATTAAAATATTTGATAATAAATAATAGAATCTTAAAAAGAACTCTATGGGGAGCCAGTGAAGGGATGCCAGTGTTGGAGTTATGTGCTCCCTCTTACGAGTACCAGTCAAGAGGCGAGCAGCAGCGTTCTGGACCAACTGGAGACGCTTAATGGAGGATTGGCTGACTCCAAAATAAAGTGCATCGTAGGCCCGAGTAATGCTTTGTTTGAAATTGCACGGCAGGCTGTCGGCATTTAAGATGATGTGGTTATTTTGTCATCTCCATCCTGCCAGAAACACTGGCATTTTCCAGAAGAGGAAAGAGATTTCCTTCTGGTCCAGGAAGTGACTCGAGTGGCCCGCTCCCTTCGGGCTCAGTGTGGTTTAACCAAAGAAAAGCCCGCTAGTAAGTCATCACGGGTAAACACTTTACCGCTTTACAGCAAGTTGGCGATAATTGGTACTAAAATATCATTTGTAGTTAGGTTTGGATTTTGGGAGGGGAGGAAAAAAACTTAATTCATGGTTTGTATGTTTCAGTGTGGGTGGTATGTTCACCCAGTCAGGCCCATATTCTCCTTCATTTTGGATCTGCTGTTCCGACTTTGAGCCGAGTTTCCCGCTTCCATATCTACTGTCCCGAAGGAGCTCTACCCACCGTCTCTTCCACCCCCCCACCCAAAGGCTGCCTTGTCGGTGTTGTGGATCACACGTGTCAGCTGCATCTTCCTCTTCAGGTAGCCATCACCCTCTTCTCTCAAATGAAGCTGGCTTATAGAAATGGTGGTGTCCCTGACTTCATATTTCTTTTGACATCAGTTCAAACTTCAGTGGACGTGTCAGTTCAAAAACGTACTTTGTCTCGCCGTAGGGAGAGAAATATTGACTCATTCTCACCATTCATTGTTCAAAAAAAACTTTTTTGTTTAAAACAAGACATTTTAGATCACAGGTGTCAAACTCAAGGCCCAGGGGCCAGATCCGGCCCGCCACTTCAACTTCCATGATCCTTGCTAAAATGTGCACTGAAATGTCAAATTGTTATGTGTAATAAATTAGAAATGATATTTTGCAGTAATTTTGTTATCCTGTTTACATTCACAATAATTGAACTATAAAACTATGAACTGATTTCAAAACGCAGCCCAGTGGTTAGCGCGTCGACCTCACAGTGCAGAGGTCCTGGGTTCAATCCCGGCTCTGGCCTTCCTGTGTGGAGTTTGAATGTTCTCCCCGTGCCTGCGTGGGTTTTCTCCGGGTCCTCCGGTTTCCTCCCACATTCCAAATACATGCATGGCAGGCTGATTGAACACTCTAAATTGTCCCTAGGTGTAGCGCGGATGGTTTTTCGTCTCTGTGTGCCCTGCGATTGGCTGGCAACCGGTTCAGTGTGTCCCCCGCCTACTGCCGGAAGACAGATGGGACAGGCTCCAGCACCCGATGAGCGGATCAGAAAATGGATGAATGGATGATTCCAAAACTAATAATCCAATAATTTGTTGTGCACAAATAATAACGCGATGAGACGATTAAAAGTGTTTGTCGTTTCAACCGTCATAGAACGGCCCTCCGAGGGAAGACGTAACTCCGAAGTGGCCCAAAACAAAAATGAGTTTGACACCCCTGTTTTAGACAGTTTTGTTCAAACTTCTTGGGAACTGTTCTGGGAAAGAGAAAAGATATCATCATCCGTTTTTATGGTTTGTGGTTGGTTTTGCACTTGGTGATCAGTTGCGCCATGGGGATAAATAAAGTTTCTGAATCTGATGAGAGTGAATACACAAAGACACTATCCTTTCAAATGTTCCCCCAGAGTGCCATGAACATTAACAAACAAGTGGCCCAGCTCACCCAACGTAGAAGCAAGCTTGTTCCCAAACTGGATGAGATCCTTTGCAAAATCCAATCTCCAGACTACTTGATCAAGGTCCCAGCGCACGTACGGGAGCAGATGGACAGTCAGGTAAGATATGGACAGGTCAGGACTAGTAACATTATTGGACACTTAGCACTTGGTTATCTACAAAAATCACATAACAAGGAGTGTGTGGTTTTTGTTCTTAATGCCGTCTGCATGAATAAAATCAGAAACCGCTTCATTTGACTTGAATGCCAAAGTACAATTCATTTTTTTGTTCATAACCTGTATCATCCAGTTCATAAAATCCTGTTCATGTCTTGTGACCTGTTGTAACTGTCATACGCTTGTGCAGGAGTTTTTTTTTTTTGCCTAACTCAAATTATCCTCAAAATGAGGATAGTTCGAGCGTGTTTTTTTTTCTCCCCCTCTCCCTCCCTTGTGGTTTCTTTCTGACTTCCGGGTTGTGTGAACGCTGGCGCGTTTGACTGCCGCTGCTCAACCCGTATTGTGTTTTATTGTTTTGTTATTGTAAAGTGTCCTTGGTTTTCTTGAAAGGCGCTTCTTATAAATAAAATGTATTATTATTATTATTATTATTACAAAATCACCAGTAACGATAATTTTTAGACTTAGCGTATTTTCCGCACTATAAGGCCCTTCGGAGTAGAAGGCGCACGTTCAATGAATGGCCGATTTTAAAACAGTTTTTCAAATGTAGGGCACACTGCATGATAAGGCACTTAGAATAGAAGCTACAATAGTGGCTGAGGTTGCATTTATGTATCCTTAAGATGGCGCTACGGTAAAGGGAATACAATACAATACAGTTTTATTTATATAGTGCTTTCATGGCCACTGCAGTTGTAACAAAGCGTTTAACTCATTCAGTCGCAGCCATGTTCACTGGAGCAACCCCCTCAATCCCAGCGTTTTACTGAATTTTGACTGATCTTGCAAGGCCGTCAGAATATTTGGTTCTAATGCTGTATAAACATGGAGCCTACCAAAATAAGGTTTGGACTCTCTTCCTTCAGCAGAAAAAAAAATTGTTTCTATCTTTTTCTATTCTTCAGCAATGGGCATTACAAAATTGCTAAGTTTCATGAAAATGGCGATTTCTGGGCAGGAAACAGAGAAAAAGAGCTTTTTGTAAAAGCATGCATTTCAAGCACGTGAGGCACCACTGCCACCTACTGGTCGATTTTTTTACATGATTTACAATGCAAACGGCTTATTCTCATTCACAGATTGCATCAGACCCTCCTCCTCTTTATGACACAAAATACAAGTACGTCCTTGGTAGGCGAGGCCTAATTTTAAAAAGACGTACAAGTACGTCTTGTGGAATGAAAGAGTTAACAGAACATTTTAAAATACTTCGCCCAAGAAATCAGAATATTGATCATGTATAAGGCACATCAGATTATAAGGCACACCGTCGGCCTTTGAGAAAATTGAATGCTTTTAGGTGCGCCTTATAGTGTGGAAAATTCAATATTTTGTTTAAATATGACTTTTTAAATCAAATAGGAATGGCATGAGCTTTCATATATGCATTAAACATTTCCTAAATTGATTAAATGTGAATTCTCTTTTATTTTTGGACATGCAAAATAATTCGTTTCTTTTTGGCTGACTGTTGCTTCCTTTTCTTGAATTTTAGATGTCCGCTCTTCAGCAGGAGTTGAAGACTATCGAGGACCATCTTAAGTTGCTGCAAATGACAGACCGTCCCACCGGCAGCTATTCCAATGATGGTGTTGATCAGTGTCAGACACAAAGTTCTTGAGGGGATATCATTTAAAAGAACAACAATCATGGCATAATAGAAATAAGTGTAGTTTAACCCTTTCAGGGACAGCGGTTACTACAGTGGACATTTTACCATGTTATCAGATTACAAGGTGCATGAAAGGGTTAAGTAATGGTCTTTTTTTTTTTTTATGACATTTTTACCAATGGTGTCATTTATGTACTCTCAATGTACCCTCTTCAACCATTTGGATTATGTACACTATGTGATTGGACAGACCGATGTTTGCATTATGCTTGTACGTAAAAAGACACACAAACCAACTCAATGTTGGCCCCCTCCATCAGCTTTTTACATAGATTTATACAGGAAATTGATTTCAACATCATCTTTAATCTATGTAATAACAATCCCACCCAATTTAAAATAGAAAATAAAATTAAAAATCATCGACTCATAATTCAAAATATAAACATGAAAACCCTAATGCATCATGGTGTCTAGTACGCATGTGTACCCGCCCCACCCTTTCATTTGCATATTCGTAGCCTCGATTAGGGCAAAGTAGACACTGACCGAGAAGGGTTAATCTCAACAGATGGGTCTATAACGGACTCTTTCATGCCGCAAAGCTGCAGAAATATAAAACTGATTATGCCGCATTGTTGAGGCTAATCAACCAGAAGCCAGTTCTCAATTTAACAAGTACACTGTGATAAATAACTGATGGGGGGATGGTGCATATTTGCAGAAGTGCGATGAACTCAAGCAACCTCCCATGTAATTTTGGCACGAATCAAAGTAAGTCAAGTCATTACATGTCGAGTCATAAAATCTTGCTCAGGCCCAACTTAAAGTGGAGGTATAAAATGTATTTTCATTGATTTTAAAACCACTGCATTTATGATGCCATTTACACCTAGCAAAGCTAAATGAGCAACTACGTAGTGTAGAAAATTAAAATGCAAATATTTATATTATTTTGAAAAAGCATGTGTGTTTTTAACAGTTGCATGAATGTTTTCAGGTACTTCCAAGATAAACTGTACACGGGAAACATCACGAGTAAAATCATCACTTGGCAGGAAACTCCAGCCGGTCTTTTTGCATCTCCAAAGACCCACAAGCCATTTCAACACTTGAGATTGGTCAGCGATTTCAAAATAACACCCACACGTGTGGATTGACTAATGGGATCGATTTGTGAAAAAGAAGAGGAAAAAAAAAGTTTGCCAAATTGTGAAATAGTTGCCATTTTGGAGGCCGATGTATTGTTTTGTTGTTCTGCTTGTTGGGTGTCTCAGGAAGCGCTCTAGGAATAGTAGGCTCAACAAGACTGGGTGACGGAGTTTTTGGCAGTCCTCTCCGTTGCTTGCATGACCAGAGGTGAAGGCCAAAGGCCTAAGATTGTTTCAAACTTTGATTGGGCCCTTCTTGGGAATGACAATAATTGGGGATATTTCCACATATGAGGCATTGTGACGCAGTTCATGGAGGTCTGGAACAGCTGCTGGAACCCCCCCCATCCCAGCTGCTCGGCACAGTAGTTTATAGTCCGCCCACGGATATCGTCAGGTTAAGTGTCAGTGTTTAAATTATGTTCTCTGGAGTGCTCTCACCACCTCTTCCCTGCTGAAAATGATGGATGAGTCACTGAGATGGAGTGAGGAGGTGAAGGCTCCTTAATTCTGCATTATTGTCCCTTTCAAAATTCGAAAAGACTGTATTAAGGTCAGTTGGTGAAGATGCTGTGCTGAAGCCACCAACCTGGGTAGGTTTTTGATGGGATGTTGTGCTGTTCAATGCTCCAATGGTCTTCAGGCAGAGCGGAGAATCCCTTGGGTAAAGGAGACCTCCACTTTGTTTTTATAGGCCATCTTGGCCTTCATGATGGCACACTTGACCTCTCGGCTGACCGCCTTCTTTTCCTCTTCTGAGCCAGTGAAGAAAATCCTGTTTTTGTTTTTTAATTGAGTACTTCTTTTAGTTCTTTCCTGACCCAGAGTTTGTTTGGCAATATTGTAATTGTTTTGGTTGGGCTTCTACTCAAAAGGAGGTGTACACAGTCACTGCATCTACCAGCTCATCAATGTTGATCAAGGAAAATTTTACCCTTATTAATGTTTAAGTCTAAAATAGTTTACCATCAAACACACACACACATCGGTAAGACCCCCTCTTTGCCCCTGGAAAGGAAAAAAAAATCCTGGCGCCTTGCCTGGGGTTGTCCCCCCCCCCCAAAAAAAAAGTCAAAAGTATCTGTCCATGTGCATAATTCTTTTACTCTGTTGATAGGCAAAGCCTCAGAGACCAGTACCTAATTTAGTAGGTCGTGGAGGACTTCTCTTTCAGTCAGACACTATACAGACTAGACTTTGTTGGGTAATGTAAAGATGGCTATTGACTGAGATTTCGGCTCGACTCGGGTATCATCGCTACACACGAGTCGGTAATCCGGAAGTGTAGTCAAGTGAGTATGTGTTGCCGTCATCGCAAGGTAGCCCGTGGCACAAGCACCCGGAGCGTGCGAAACTAAAACCACGAGAGTCGACCTACCTACCACTCACTGTAAAGTAACATTGTGGATGCGCGCCAGGCCACTAACACTAACACTCCTGACTTGAGAACTGAATATTCCCCGTTAATATTTAGCAGTCTGTCTGCGGGGCCAAGAGGTGGACGCACAGACAAGAGACCGTGTCGGAGCCGCTGTGTGCACTGCCAGCATCGAGATGAGCTGCGAACGTGATAGCGAAGCGGAAACCAGGGTAGCTAACGTCAGCTAGCTACAAACGAGCCAAACCGGACTCGATGTGAACCCGATCACCCCCTCCAGCATGAAAGGCACACCGTTTTGTTGGGAGCGGCGCGTACGAGGTGAGTGACTTCCCCCAGCGGCTTGCATTCAAAGTGTCCTCGGGATGAGCGTCCTCGTGAGTCGCGGCACCGATGCGTGTTAGCCAACAGGCTAGGGGCATGTCAGCACGACGTATCCGTGTGTTGTTTCGACTCTTACTTTTAAGGACGTCGGTCGATAATTAGAAGAGAGATGAGTGACACCCTGACAGCATTTGAAGAGCCCAGTTTTGCTGCTTCAGCGGTGGCTAGCATAAGCATACCGAATGCAAAAACGTAACCGTTGGGAGTCATCACAGTCACGTCCCGGTGGCCTAATGTTGGCATTGTTGCGCGATATTTATTGGGAGTCATCACAGTCACGTCCCGGTGGCCTAATCTTGTTATTGTTGCGCGATATGTATCACAATTCCATTTCAGTTCTTATGACAATATAGCGAGAGGCGGTGCCTTGTGGGTACTAATTGGCTCTGTCACGGTGGGAGTCATGTGAAGCATTTCTCTCTGGTGCCTCACAGCTGGTTGGTGGGGGAAAGGCTGCTGTCTGCTGCTTCTTGGCAGCTCCACGTCTCCGTGGAAAGCTGAAGGGAGTGTTGAAAGAGCATAGAGTTTCAGCTGGTACAATTTGGATAGGAGCAACAGTTCCCTCCCACTGCCCATCCCTCTTGTTCGCAGTCATCCGCCTCTTGTCTGCAAATCTGAACTTTCAACAGCTTTGCAAGGGTCGGACATGTCATCTGTGAGCTGCTCCCGGGTCAAGTACAGCTCAGGTTTGGACAAGTTTTGTTCTGTCGGCTGTCGATTCATATTTTGTGCTTTGTGTCAGATCTCGATGAATATTTTCTCTTCCCTGACATTTATAGCTTTCTCGTGCAACTCAATCCTGATTTATGTGTACTGCTGGTGGAGGCAGTTCAGTTAGACTACAGACAAAACTGCCAACGCCTTGCAGAAAGGCATAAACATTAAGTACTGTACTGGCGTTGACTTACTGACTTATGTTTATGCCACCATTGATGAGTAGAATTTTGTGAAGTAGTTGTCGTGAATGCTTAAAAGCCTGCAATTCAAAGTAATGAAGTGATCAACTCCGATTGAAGTCGATAAATTAAAGGGGAAGTCAATCCCAATTAAATTTTTTCTTTTTTTTGCACTCACATGTTCATGCAGCCCCACGAGTCCAAACGTGACATTGTGATGACTATTACATTTGTGGAATATGAGATAAGCAATAAAATCCACCCGTTTTTGTCCATCTCAAGGGGTGGCCATTTTACCACTTGCTATCGACTGAAAGTGATATTCCAGTTGTTCAGGGCTCAGCTTCAGAAAACAGTGTAGTGATATTAAAGACCTCACAATCACATATGTGGCTTATTCACACCCTTCCAGAACTCCCTCAAAGTGAGCCTCTATTTCTTTAAACTTACATTTCTATTAATTTGATGGTTGCTAACCATAAACAAGCCAGGCCTGACCAACAATAGAACCATTGCCCAACCTCACACATTATCTGTCTTATCAGTTGAATCACCTGCGGGAAAATAGATTTCATCTTGTCCCAAACCAGTGGACCGCAGCCCACATCCATCCTAACAAGATTACTGTGTGTGTGTGTGTGTGTGTGTGTGTGTGTGTGTGTGTGTGTGTCTGTGTGTGTGTGTGTCTATATTTACCAATGCTAATTGGTTTATAATGCTAATGCTGAGGATCTCATGTGTGTGTGTGTGTGTGTGTGTGTGTCTGTCTATATTTACCAACGCTAATTGGTTTATAATGCTAATGCTGAGGATCTCGCATGGAGAGGTTCAATGTATACCACACCTATTCACCTACTACTGTCCTACATCATCTTCATCTTTTCGCATCAATGTATACCACACCTATTCACCTACTACTGTCCTCAGAGTACATCATCTTCATCTTTTTGCAATGAAGTTTCTCACAATTCTTAAAAAGAAAATTCGATCTGGATTTACTGCCTTGTTAAATATCGCCAGAATAAGACTGTAAAGCTAAATAATTTAATTTTAGCAGTGAGGTGCAGTGTAATATTATTCTCACGCATAACGGCGACGGATGCTTGATGTTATTCCGTTTTTATGTGGCATAAAAGTAGCATGACGGGCATTCAGTGTGCACTCATCTGGTTTCTTCGCCAACGTCCGCGCAGTAATCGTCTTGCATTGTCCACTAAGGATGAGAGATGAATCAAAATCTCATTGTGATTTCAAATTTGGCATCTCAAGATCACAACAACCCCCCAAAAAACAAAAACATTATCAGCAAAGATAAACAACGAACGTGTAGTGTGCAAATTCCTGCTTTGCTAACGCACCCTGAATGTTGCAACAAAGTATCCTGCCCTGAGCGTGCTTTAAGCAGTTTACCAACGCCCCGGTTGGAGATAACTGTCAAAGTAAACACACAACAAAAATAATTCCACACGTTTTAGATTTAAACACAACACATGCTTCGTTTTAGAAACACCGCCAATGCTAATGCTCGCAGTGAATGCGGACTCCTTTTGACAAGCTAATAGAAAATTAGCATTGAGATTCGGGAGTGATATTTGTGCATAAAATGAATATTCAAACACAGTCACTGCAGTAACACATACAGACAGGTAATATAACTATTTACTAGCGTACATTATGCTGATTGTTGTTGTTTTTTTCTGGTCTGTTTCCAGGATGATGGCTAAAGGATAATGTACAAGGAATCGCCTTCCCTCAACCCAAAGTGACCCAAATTTTCCCCCCCTCGTTATTCTTCATCATCATTTAATGGAGCTGATGTATTCCGCAGTAAGATTGTGTGAATTTGATCGCCCGCTTCTCCTCCGGGCACCCTCGTCAAAAGAAGACAGGGTTTAATTTGGAATGATGTGACCAGACCTCAATTCCTATCCAACAAAGGATCTGTAGGACTCTTTCTGCTGGCTCCAATAACGTGTTTCCCTCACTTTTATCCTTTTCCACAACCGACTCCCTTTTAGTGTTCTTGGGCCATGGTTCGAAAGAAAGGTTCCCTTATATTATGCGGTGCTTTTCTGTTTGTCGCGTGGAACGCTTTGCTTTTACTTTACCTTTGGGGACGCCCGCCGATTGGCCGCCTCGGGGAGGGTGATGGCGCCGAACCAGGAGGAAATGAGGAGTGGGGTCTGATCAGAGGCAAAGGAAGCCGGGTCAACCTGGCGGGGGAGGTGATCCAGCTGGCAGAGGAAGTTGAAATTCAGCTGGAGACCCAGAAAAAGCTCTTAAAGCAGATCGAAAGTTACAGGGCAGCATGGTCCAAGCGCAAAGATGTTGGCAAAAGAGAAATGGCCGTCAAATCCGAAGCGGTTCACCCGCCCCGGAGGCCTCCCCTTCCTTTGAAAGACAACGTGGATACCAAGGATCAAACTCGAAAACACCCTCACAAGTCTTTTGTTTCGCTCGCCCCAGACGCTCAGCGTCAGTCCAACGTCATCGAGACGGTCAGCGCTGACAAATTGGCAACTTTTGTCGCGAGCCCAGAAGTCGTCATTCCGATCCTAGTTATCGCCTGCGACCGAGTGACCGTCAAACGGAGTCTTGACAGACTGATTCAGTACCGGCCTTCCCAAGAACTCTATCCTATCATTGTCAGCCAGGACTGCGGCCACGCTGAAACAGCCAGTGTCATTGGCTCATACGGCAGTCAAGTGACACACATTAGCCAGCCAGACCTCTCAGACATCCGAGTACGGCCGGAGCACAGGAAGTTCCAGGGCTACTACAAAATTGCCAGACATTATCGCTGGGCGCTCAACCAAGTGTTCAACACTTTCTCCCAGTCCACCGTGGTCATAGTGGAGGACGACCTTGAGGTGAGTTCTCGACTGCTTCTGTCTTATTCTGATAGCATTTCCCGTACCTATACGGTACGGTACGGTGCGGTTAATCGTGCTCAGCTAAATTGTTTAGACCCAAACATAATTTTGTACGTCGAGTGGTACCTCTACTTACGAACGTCTCTTCATAGGAAATTTTCAAGTGACTATATACCTCAACACGAAAATATTGCCTCTTGTTATGAAACAAATTTCAAGATCCGAAAGGTAAAAATACAGTATCGACTGCTTCTTGAGCTTAGTTTCCTGAATGCAACATACTTATAGCTGCTCTGCCATTGGCAATTCCCGAGCATTATTCTGGCATCCCATTGGCGCTGCGGTATAGATAGATCAATAGATAGATATGTGTCTATGCAGTGTCATTCGCCCCTCAGGCCATGAGGCCTTCCGATAATTTCACGTAAATGTGAATCACCCAGAAAAAGTGTTGACCAGTCGGGCGATCGCTCACTATTATGTTTGCCTTGGACATTTTCGAAGGATTGTTGAAAGCCGACAAAAATAAACGTCCTTGGATCAGTTCTTTACAAAACGCCAGGCAAAAAAACACTTCTGAGGGGAGGACATGGACTATAGAGGGCAAAAAAATGATGAGGACCATCATTTTTATGTTTTGTTTTTTACATTATGCACAACTCTCATTTATTGTGCAATAATCTAATTGTAACATGTATTTGTTACATATTCTGATGCATTTTTATGTTTTAGGAAACATGTCTGAATTTTGGGGGGCTTGGAACGGATTAGGGCATTTACATGGAAAACACGTCTCTACTTACAAAATTTTCTAGTTAAGAAATTTCTTCCAGAACCAAATAATTTCGTAAGTAGAGGTACCACTGTATATTGGCCGCTTTGCATTATCGTATGGGTTTCCACATTATGATACCGGATATTTGCAAAGGAAGGCGTCAATTTTTTTTTATTTTTTATTTTTTTATTACCTTTACCGGATACGGCTAGTCAAACAGAATAGATCACCTCACATGTCAACAGTATTTTTCCATTCGGTTCGGGTACTGTATTTGGTTTCATTCTAATCGGAATACAAGCCTACATGTAAACCATCATGACTGATGAGGATGCAGTATCAGAGCGCCCTCGAACCGTTTCATTGGTTCCCTGTGACGTGTTCAGAAATCTCATTGGTCAAATGCGATGAGGCGATCGCTAAATGTGTTGGTGACACGTTAGTAAAAATCCAGAAATTAACCACGTCGCGTTTAACCCTTTCAGGCACCAATAATGATAACCTGTAACCTGATAACATGATAAGATGACCACTGTCGTAACCGCTGTCCCTGAAAGGGTTACAGCCGCAGGGTTCAAAGCCTGGGGGGGGGGGAACAGTGTCTTATAGTACAGTGGTACCTCTACTTACGAAATGAATTGGTTCTGAAAGAAGTTTCTTAAGTAGGAAATTTTGTAAGTAGAGACGCGTTTTCCATGTAAATGCCCTAATCCGTTCCAAGCCCTCCGAAATTCAGACATAAATGTTTCCTAAAGCATAAAAAGGCATCAAAGTATCTAACAAATACATGTTAAAATTAGATTCTTGCACAATAAATGAGAGTTGTGCATAATGTAAAAAACAAAGAATAGAGTAAAGAATGGTCATTTAACTTAACTGCATCCTCCTCGGTTTTTGCCCTCCTTGGTTCATGTTCTCTCTCAGAAGCGAAGTGGTTTTTGCCTGGTGTTTTGTAAAGAACTAACTGATCCAAGAACGTTTGCTTTTGTCAGCTTTTAATGATCCTTTGAAAACGTCCAAGGCAAACATCAGCATCGTGAGCGATCGCCTGATTGGTCAACACTTTTTTTGGGTAATTCACATTTACGTAAGACTATCGGATCGCCCCATGGCCCGAGGGGCGAATGACAAGGACGCCGCATAAAAACATATCTATCTATCCACACAAATAGACACATACGGTAGCGGTCCCTCTTAGCCAATGGGACGCCAGGATGATGCTCGGTAGTAGCCAATGGCAGAGCAGCTATACGTATGTTGCGTTCAGGAAACTCGGAGCTGCGAATAGCTGCCCATTTCGTATCTTGAAATTTCTTTCGTCAGAAGAGAATATTTTCCTGTTGAGGCATTTCGGAACTTGGAAATTTCGTATGGAGAGACGTTCGTAAGTAGAGGTACCACTGTAATATCATGTGAGACGTTATTTCCACAAATCTACCTTTTTGTTCTTCTTCAGGTGGCCCCGGACTTCTTTGAGTATTTCCGTGCCATGTACCCAATCCTGCGATCCGACCCGACCTTGTGGTGTGTGTCCGCCTGGAACGATAACGGCAGAGACGCCTTGATCGATCCATCCAAAGCTGCTCTTCTTCACCGGACAGACTTCTTCCCCGGTCTGGGCTGGATGCTGCTTAAGGAATTGTGGGACGAGCTGGAACCCAAATGGCCTTCTGCATTCTGGGACGATTGGATGCGTCTCCCAGAGCAGCGCAAGGACCGCTCATGCATTCGCCCGGAAATCTCCCGGACGATCACCTTTGGCCGAAAAGGTGTCAGTTTAGGTCAATTCTTTGACCAGTATCTCCGCTATATTCGACTTAACACGGAATTTGTGCCTTTTACCAAACAAGACTTCTCTCATTTGCTAAAAGACAAGTATGATGAGAAGTTTATCAAAGAAGTTTACAACGCCCCACTGGTGAAGATTGAGGAGCTGCAACAAGGGGGAAGTTTAAGAGGACCTGGTCCTTACAGAGTCAAATACTCTAGCAGGGATAGTTTTAAAGTCCTTGCCCGGAATCTGGGGGTGATGGATGACTTGAAATCCGGAGTCCCGCGGACAGGCTACAGGGGTGTCGTCAGTTTCCTGCACCGCGGTCGAAGAGTGTTTTTGGCTCCGCCGGAAGGTTGGACGCAATATGATGTCAGCTGGAGCTGAGACAGATCCAAAAAAAAAAAAAACTAAAGTGTCGACAAGACGAGTCATGCTCGGAGGTGCGCCTCTTGGGACCCAAGAAGGAATTCCAACAGCAGACCGGCGGGACTATGAGCTTGCCTGTTTGCCAGGAAGCTTCCTAAATGAGGCGCTCGCTCAGGATCAGCTTGCATCGAGGCCACCGAGACAAGAATCCACCGAGTTAAATCTCACGAAAGGAAAAATTCCACTCTTGAACACAGCGAAAATGGCTTTTGGCAAAGTGCCTTTCTTTTTTTTTCGGACCCATTACGTTGGGTGTATTCTAATTATTATTATTATGATTATATTTCACCCGAACTTGATTAGAAATAACAAATCCACGTGTTCACAGCCGCTGTAAATAATCGTCGGCAAGAGAGGACGTTGTGGATTTGAGTCAGCCGGGGAAGGTTCATGTTCCGATGTCAGCGGAAAAGAAAGCGGAAGCCAAATATCAGAAAAGACTCGGGAACTCTCGTCAATGTGCACATACGAAACTGAGCGACAAGGTGAATTCATGCAACGATGATGGGTTTCATTCATTAAATCTGTGAAATAATCAGACAGACATGACGATTCCTTTTATTACCTTCTGCGGTTCACATCTCACCAGTGGAACAATCGCAAAATTCCACCAAGTGGTCCAGTTCAGTTTGATTTGCCCGTACGATTTCTCACAGTCAGTCGACCTTTTGTTCGATTTGCCGTTGCTTAGCTATTTTTAAAATAAGCCGTCACCAACGACGATTGTTGTTTTCACGCTTCTCCAAAATTCTTGTGAAAAGATTTTTCCGGCGGATCCTATTTTTATGGAAGTACAGAAGCCGAGTTTATATTTGTAATCACTTCAAAACATTTTTTAAAATGTGTATTTTCATACAAAAAATACATTTCCTTTCTTCTGTTCCAGGCTGCCATATACTGTAGACCAGGGGTGCCCCAGTACGTAGCTCGCAATCGACCAGTAGCTCGCGATCGACCAGTAGCTCGCGATCGACCAGTAGCTCGCGAACTGGTCCCAAGTCCGTCGCCAGGGATGTCGAGGGGGAAAAAAAAACCCCAAAACAAAACATTTGTGTGTCTATGTGCGTGTTATTAATATGATATATTTTTCTGTTACGGCACACTGCACCCTTAGCATCAGTCTCACTTTCGCAAAAAGTATTTAAAAATTAAAATTAAAAAGCAGGTCACCTTTAACCTACGATGGCCCGTGACCTGCATCACTGGAAGTTGTTAGCGCTCAGCAGTCTGGAATTGCAGCTTGCGATCAGAGCTGTTGTGCAATATCTTTTATTGTTATTATTATTCTCATTCAGAGTTGGTTTCATGTGCAATTCAACGGGGGCACGGGCAAAGAATGGCAGCCCGAAGGGCCGAGAGAAGCATTTTAAAACGACCCATGTGAGCAACGATAGTTAACTCGCTGCAAAAGTGCGTCCTATGCGTTCGCGTCAGGTCTCGACAAAGGTAGGCAGTGATTTCCTTTATTTTTCTGTGCTCGTGTGCGGTAACGGGTCGATCGCAGGAGGTTGGTCGATCGAAAAGTAGATCTTGGGTTAAACATGTATAAATTGGGGGGGTTCGTTGTTTTTGAATGGATAGCTCTACTTTACGAAACGGCAAAAGGAGAGATGGATTCCATTTGAACCGCAGCGCGATCGAGGACACGCTCTCGGCAACTCAAATCACTTCCTGCTTTCCCTTAGTTCAACAGCCAATCAGAAGCTATCAACATAAAGCAGTTCTTAAACAACATAATCCAATTTAGGTCATCTTAACGTGAAGGAATACGATGCTCAAACATAAAATGATCATTAATAATATCACATAAGCGTCGAAAATATTGGGCACCCCTGCTGTCGACGGTTCTTTTGCCCGGTTGGATTTCAATATTCTATCGCGAGGAAGTTTCCCAACGGCTATTTTCTAACATGAGGTGGCGATCGGCCTGTCACCCGATACAAATAGCAGCAGTATTGTTTTGAATTTGCAAGACAATTTTGACTAAAAAGAAATTTAGTCCGGGTCGGCTCTTCTTGGTCAATGAAAAAAAAAAAGAACTGAGCTGTACTGCTTTGTGGAAACGAAGCCTCAGAAAAGTACGCGATGATGATCGCAGTTGCGTAAATGCAGAATGAGTATCTTATCGATGAGAATCATACGGCAGTCAAGGATGAAGGCACGATGGATTTTTTTTGTTTTGTTTGTTTTGTTGTGGTTGTTGCTTAAAATTCCAGCGCTGTTGTCAAGGGTACTTCTTGAAGCAAAAAGCGAGAGATCAATCTCCCAGTGTTTTCTTCTGCTTCAAACAGAATCATTCCTGTGTATTGTTCATTTCATATCGGAAAAAAAAAAAACGTTTTCTTTAATAAACACAATGACATGTTCTGACACGCCAAGCATTTTTTAATGTTATTTGCTAAGTAGCGTAGTGGAGAAATATCCAAAGTCTACCACCTATTGCATTTCGTGATATGGCGCCGCTCTAAGTTGGTGTCTTTGATTGATTCTTGAATATGGTCAAAAGTATTGATGATACTTTTAGATGGGCTGATAATCTTTTTGTTTGATACATTTCATTTGAAAAGGTTTCCACTGTTTTTTTTTCTTCTTCTTCCCTCTGTAGCATATTTTTTTAAATTAATTTCCCGTTCGCTTGATTGTCCGTTTTTCAAAGTGTTCAAAGACTGCATCCAACCACTCGCGACAGTTGACTGAATTTCATCCGTTTTCAAATAATTGCGGGAGGATTTTGTCCGTGGTGACTTAACTGTCTTGAACTTGAAGTTTAAAACTTTTGCCAAGCAGAGTGACGTTTCACCTTGATGCCCTGATACAGGGCAGGTTGTAGTTTTCATCCAAACCATGGTTTGGTCAGCTTAGGTTTGTTGAAAAACCGAAATGATTGTCTGCTAGGTTTTTTTTTTTGTGTGTGTGTTTGTTTGGTCGTTTCAGCTAATTAAAAAAATAATAAAAATGCTGGTGAGTGTCAAGAAATCATCACTGTACTGTATTAAGATTTGGGGTGGGGGTGCTATCCATGAGATTGATTGACATTCTGTTTGGTGATACGAAACACTGCCTGTGTTTAGAACTTTAATACATTATGAATAAAATCAGCTATTTTGATATTTGTGCAACTGTTTGCAGCTTTCTTACTTTTCATTCGCTTGCGTGTGTATGTGTGCATGTTCAGATGAATTCAATTGAGGCTATTTTCCTGATCACGTCAATGCTACGAGACACGCATTCATATTCATACTGTTGTGATTTTTAACAATATATTCTGATCATGCACCGCTATAATTGGGGTTCTTGCACATCCACGAGTCTCAGCCATAGCTTGGGGGTCTGCAAAATAATTTCCAGTCATTTATGTTGTGGGGGAAAAAAAAGTACCCTTCCTATCTCAGCTTTCAGCCAATAAAAAGCTCCCATAGCACTGATGAATCACAATTCTGACATCCTTGCATATGTGCTTTTACGTCGTCTTCAGAGGCAAAGTGACCTCCAAAATATTTGTGGTTTGAAAGTACATCATTTGGGTGATTGTTTTTTCCCCGTGTTCAATGAATAAATGAAGGTTTTGCAACTTTCACGCATGGACACCACTCAATGTGCTTTACATGATTGAAAGTACAACTTTAAAAAACGAAGAAGGAAAGACCACTAAATAAAACTGACTAAAAGAGCTTAAGTTGCCACATGTCTAAAAAGCAAGAATGAAATTTGTTGTCATTATTTTTTTTTTTTGTTCGGGCAAGAAGAGGAAGAATTGTGGATGTACTCAAGTCTGGGGTGGGGGGTGGGGGGTATAACGGAATCAAAGTGTAATATTCAGTTCTAAAAGAAACTTTTGCATCAGACTGAAGCTGCTCATTATCAGCAGTTAAAGTAATGACACATTTGGAGAGCTGTTGCACCAAGTGATGACCAAGACATGAATCATGGCTCCAACAGGGGGGAAATAAAAGCTGACAGTGGGCTAAAAAAAAGCAATCATGGAATGGATGAGTGGATGAAAGTGATATTCAATGATGAATGACCACTCTCCGTTCGGCAAGATGATGATGCTGGAACTTTTGTTTGGTTCTGTTCCAATGAAATTTCCGAAGATGACTGCCTAAAGAAAATATCAATGTTATTCAGTCATTAATGATATGGGGCTGCGTGTCAGGTCAAGGCACAGGAAAGATGGCAGTCATTTTATCTTCAATAAATGCACATTGAGACTTTGAACACTTTTCCATATTGAAAGGCTGTTAACTTTTTTAAGATGTATCTTGCCAGAAAGCAAGAACCCTACAAACCTCCCTTTAACTCTTTCAGGGACAGCGGTTACTACAGCGGGCAGCTTATCATGTTATCAGGTTACAGGATGCATGAAAGGGTCAAGAAATATGGACAGTTTCCGCCAAATGTTTTCATCAGGCTGTTAAATTCTTCTTTTGAAATGCTTTTCCAGGCCTTTACTGCAGCCTCTTTCAGTTCTTGTTTGCTTCTTCAGTCTTCTCTTCAGGAGGTGAAATGCATGCTCAATTGGGTTATGGTCTGGGGTGACTGACATGGCCAGTCTAAGACCTTCTGCCCCCCACCCCCCCCTCCTCGATAAAGTCCTTTGTTGCGTTGCCATTGTATTTCACTTACCGTATTTTTCGGATTATACGTCACTCCCGATTATAAGTCGCACCAGCCAAAAATGCATAATTAAAAAGGAAAAAACATGTCGCACTGGAGTATAAGTCGCATTTTGGGGGGAAATTTATTTGATAAAATCCAACACCAAAAACATACATGTCATCTTAAAATAAAAATAAAATACAGAACAATCGGCTGAATAAGTGTACGGTATACTAACGTTACATGACTGACATGCCTGGCAATGTCAAAAACGACGTAACGTATTAAGAGTTATTCAGATAACGCTAGCATAAAGAACATGCTGACAAGTTTACCAAACAATCAGTTTCACTCCAAATCACTAAAACCAACGAAATTTTCATCCTTGGTGTCACTTTTAAACAACTTCCCCAACTCGGGAGGTAGACGATGCGCTGCTTCCTCTTCTACGTGGCTTACGTCAGACTCATCGTCGATTTATCAACACAGGCGGAGAGCGCCCTCTTGTGGTTTAATATGAAAATAACGTGAAATGATATAATCATGTGTTCATAATTTCACACATAAATCGCTCCATAGTATAAATCGCACCCCCGTCCAAACTATGAAAAAAAATGCGATTTATAGTCCGGAAAATACGGTGGGTACAGGTTAATCTTGGTCTCGTCAGTCCATAAAACTTTGTTCCCAAACTTTTGTGGCTCTTCTTTATACTTCTTTGCAAAATCCTATTCGTCCGGAAAATACGGTGGGTACAGGTTAATCTTGGTTTCGTCAGTCCACAAGTTCTCAAACTTTTGTGGCTCTTCTTTGTACTTCTTTGCAAAATCCTATTGGGTCTTCTGATTCTTTTAGCCCCGTGGATGTTGCTGATGATGTGACTGACTGTTGTCTTTGGGGGTTTCTTCACAGCTCTCACAATGTTTCTGTCAGCTGGAGCTGATACACTTGACTGACCTGTTCCATGTCTGTTGCTCAGTCCGCCAGTGATTTATTTGTTTTTCAGGGCATTCCAAGCTGTTGCATTGGATACGTCCAATGTTTGTGCAAAATATCTGATCCCCCCCACGACCCCTTCTCTCAGTTTCAAATGTGTTATGTCATTTGTGTGGCCGGCAAATAATCCAGATCTCGATGCAATGGAAAATCTTTGGTGGAAAATAAATAAAATAGTCAATGACAACAATGATGTCAATCAGACGGAGTTGGAGCCAGATTATGGAGAAATACCATTTGTCAATGATTAAATCCATGCTTGGGTTGACTGTAAACTGTTACAAAACCCAGAGGTGGTGCAACAAAGTAGCAGTGTATTATTGTAATGTTTTGTTTTTTTTTAGGTCTGTTTCTCATGAGTCCATAATTTTGTCCTCAGAATTATATAATTCATTTTCCCCCCTCTACGTGATCTAAAAAAAATAAATCATAATAATAATAATAATGACTGGCAACAACAATGTTCTTTTCAGTGTTCGCCAAAGCCAAAATTGCAGGACAGCCATGATTTACCTTTTTTTTTTTTTCTCACTCCAAAATTAAATGTGTAAATGATCATCCTCCAATGCAATGGAAAATCTTTGGTGGAAAATAAATAAAATAGTCAATGACAACAATGATGTCAATCAGACGGAGTTGGAGCCAGATTATGGAGAAATACCATTTGTCAATGATTAAATCCATGCTTGGGTTGACTGTAAACTGTTACAAAACCCAGAGGTGGTGCAACAAAGTAGCAGTGTATTATTGTAATGTTTTGTTTTTTTTAGGTCTGTTTCTCATGAGTCCATAATTTTGTCCTCAGAATTATATAATTCATTTTCCCCCCTCTACGTGATCTAAAAAAAATAAATCATAATAATAATAATAATGACTGGCAACAACAATGTTCTTTTCAGTGTTCGCCAAAGCCAAAATTGCAGGACAGCCATGATTTACCTTTTTTTTTTTTTCTCACTCCAAAATTAAATGTGTAAATGATCATCCTCCAAGAGCGGTGATTCCATTCCCTTTGCCCGGGGGTTGTACTTGGGTTACTTTTCTTCAGTTAGAAGGAAGATTTTAGATGGGGCGACCGATGAACAGTGAACACAATTTTGGCCCAGATCTTGCTGAGTTTCCAGTATTTCAGCTTTAGAATAACAATGAAAAGCTTAACCAGCAAGCAGTGCAATCTCTTGCCGCGATAAACATCCCCTGAACAGTCCAGGAGCCGTGATCAGCAGTTATCTCTCTGGTTCCGGTCAGTCATCCTGTGAGATGCTTGCTCAACTTCCTGTTTCACCCACAGTTATATTTATTGCCTGAAAGATTTTTCATTGTTATTCCACACAGTGCGTTGTGTCTCGAGGTCACGAGCGTTTACGATTTATAAAATCGATTGAGTAACATCAAATAGCAGGAGGAGAAAATGCCATTGATGAAATTGATATGCAGTATATTGTTTTCATCATTCAGTATTGAAAAAATGTTTTCGAAAGATGATTGTGCTTCAAGCACTTGACCACAGTGCCACCTTTCGCCATTATGTAAGTAAGAGGGGATATAAAGAAAATATAAAATGCGCACACTCATGTTCAATGACAGGTTTTGGTGATTTAAAAAGAGACAGATAAAATATTTCAAAACGGTTTACGGTGTAAATGTACGGCCCGAGGCCCGGAACCGGCCCCCGAGGAGGTTTGGTCAGGCCCGCAGGATAATTTAAAAGTGAAAAAATGCATAAATGACAAGGAATTAATATTTTTAATAAAATGCCATTCATATATTATCCGCTAGGGGGCACACTGTTTTCTTTTTAGTTTGTAAAGTGTAGGCAAGGATTAAATTTAGATTTTGTATGCACATGTGTAAATGGTTTCAAATGTCCTTTCTTTATCAATCTTGTTCAATCTTAAAATGTATTACTATATTTTTCAATACCAATTACTTGTTAAAGTTTTGTGCCTTTGTACAATCAGTGGGATCAACTGCAATGCATGTATGTGAATGATCAAAGTAAACTACATTTGTCTAAGGAAATCTAAGGTGCTTCATGAAATGTTTTGTAAAAGATATGTTCATTAAATTTCAACATTTTTTAATGTTCTTGTGCTTCTTTAGACCAAAACAAAGGAAAGACATTATTTTGGTTATTTATAGCAGAGTATGGTATAAAATCTCATGTTTTTTTTTCTTTCATTAAATTAATCTTGTTATGAGTAGTTATACACTCGCAGGTACTAGCCTATATTGCACTGCAAAATAAAAACGTATCCAAAAGTGTGAGGCTTTACACTGTAGAATGCCTGTTCCTATTATTAGTTTTAATTCAAATCACCCATTTGTCTTTTTTTTCTGTCATTCTGTGAGGATAAACGGATTTTTTTTTTTTTTTTAGGATAAACGGATTAGAAAATGGATGGACGTGGGAAATAACGTCAAAGATATTGAGCAATGACGAAAATATGACATTCATTCGTGGTAATAATGAGCGAAAGCTAGTTTATTTTGGTGAATCAAAATTGCCAAGTTAATAAACATTTATAGGCATAACAATAACCGAAGTAAAAAAAAACAAGTAGCTCAGCACTGACAAGAAAAGAAAGTGACATTAAAAAAGTGAGGACAAAGGGTGCAGACATTATAATATATGTTGCAAGTGATTGTTGTAAAGATTAATTGCGAACTAAATCTTTACATATTTACACGGCTAATAAAAAAACAAACCTGACACCTAAATTTGGAAAACGCGTGACGTCATATTTATGCGACGCGTTGCCGAAAGACGGAGACTCTCCAAAGAACGCTTAACATTTGCTTATATCGTTATTTTGGACAACGGATAGGTAAGCAGTAATTGTGGTACGAATGCGAAACTGCATAGTCTAGTGATATTTATTAATAACATCTATTTTTCAATTGCAGTAGTAGTGTATCGCCACGTGCATAGCCCATGCTCTCCTGTTGTCAATTTCACACACGGCTCTTTCTGAGCACACAATCGTGCAGAACCTTTCTCATTTTGTTTGCAGGAAAAACAAATTGCTTTCTGAGTGAATACGATTGTTAACCAACGTTTATAGCCGGTGGTGTATGATCGGTTAAAAGGGTGTCAATCGCGTATGTTCTCTTCATACAGACATGTCATGTTTTAGTGGCGATCCCAACTTCTGTCCAGAGTGTGGAAATGTTCTTCCGTTACCAGGGATGAAAGACGCCGTCTGCTGTCCCCGCTGCTCCTTTTCCATCTCTGTATCAGGTACTGCTGTACCTATCATATTTGACAATAAAAACAGTGTCAATCGTAACTACTGTGTACTGTGCGTTTCTGTTTTGCTGTCTAGAGTTTTCAGGCCGAGAGATACGCTCGACGGTCGTCTTCAACACACTGGACAAGTCTTCTGTGGATCTGGAGGGGAGTGATGACTCTGAAATGAAGGGTCCTGTGGTAAGATAGAATCCTCTGTTGCCCTGATTCTTAAATTAGCATCCTCTTGACCAATATTAATCAGGGTATGCGTGATGGTTCGTTTGCTCAGATCGACAGACGCTGCACTCGCTGCAATAAAGAAGGCATGATTTATCACACAAGACAGATGAGATCTGCGGATGAAGGCCAGACCGTCTTCTTCACCTGTATACACTGCAGGTAAAAAGATCAAATCTCTTAATTTAAGTAATTGTCTGCTATTTGCACATAATTGTGATTGTCATGTTACAGGTATCAAGAGAAGGAAGACTCTTGAGAGCATTCTGCAACTTTTCTCTTTGTATTATTTTATATTCACGAAAAATGTAACATGTTATAGATGTTGTAGTAAAATGTATATTTAAAAAAAAAGAAAGACCAACCAAATAAAATCCAATTGAACATGAAATTCGTGAGATGTGTTATGTGGTGGAAGATTTGACCTACTGAATCATGTCTGAATGTTTTGAGATAGACAGTGGGGTGCTATTGTGGTTAGCACATTTGCCTCACACTTCTGAGATTTCTTGCTTCAGATTTGCTCTCAACTGAGCCAAGCACTTTATTAAAACAATTTTTTTGTAATATAGAAAAGAAATGAAAACCTAAACTGGCGTAGAAATGAGGTTGAATTACTTTTAACCACACCCAAATCTCAATTTATGACATTGACTTCAACCTGTGATATTTTTGGTAAATAATAATCTATGAAAATGTTTAAAAGCACTGAGTGCTATTATACCACCTTGATGTTGATAGGATTGTAAAATAGATATTTAAGAGAATGTCCCAAATGTGATTTACATAAAACATGTTAATATTGGTCTGGATTAAACACACAATAGACCATTTTCACAAAATTTCAAAATAAAAATAATTTAAATAAATGTCAATGACGTTTGTCAGTTCCAGTGCAGTCACTAAATTTACCTCTAGAGGGGAGTAGTGAATTCTTAAAAGTGCCACTGCCCGCTTTATTGTAGAGAAGAAGGATGACTGACCAATAAGAGCGCACAAAGAAGGTCACATGACCCGGTAGCGGTAATGCAGTTTGCAAACAACAGTACAATATGATTCTGTTAAACGGCCGGCAGATAAAGCCAACGACAAGCCGGTTGACAGCAATGCTGCTTTTGCACTCTATATTGTCATTTTAAATGAAGGAGATCGTGGAAAACAGAACGATTTCCTGGTAAATAAAAAAAGTGTTTTTTTGTTACCGCACCGATTGGACACATATCGTGGAAAACAGAACGATTTCCTGGTAAATAAAACAAAAGTGTCAATTTGTTACCGCACCGATTGGACACAGCGGTTCCGACAAACTGCCACAGCTGTTAATTTTAGCCTTTGATTTATTACTATTTCGTGGAGCGTGCAGATATTTCATGTGATTTTTAAGATAAATATTTTTATTAGAAAATGAAGCTGAGAGTCCAGCTGCAGTGCAAGAATTTGCACGAATATCTCAGAGAGTTGAGCCCAGAGATTCTGGACCGACTATACAATCATCCAGCAACATGTCTGGCTGTCTACAGGTAGGCTGACTGTAATAAATGGAACTGGAAACGTTGTCATCATCATCATCATCATTTGTGATTGATGCTGTTCACGTTATGATGTTGTTGAACTCCGCAGGGAACTTCCTTCTCTGGCCAAAAACTATGTGATGCGAATGCTGTTCCTGGATCAGCCTCTTCCACAGGCAGCAGTGGCATTATGGGTGAATAAAGAAAGCCAGAAGTGAGTGACTTAATTTTCATGGGCATTTGTAGTCATAATTATAAGTTGGCCATTTTTATGTGTGTCAAAATTCCTCATGTGTGGTTTAAACGTGTTTGGCATCTGACCTGATCTGTAAAGATACACTTTGCATATGTTGATGTCTCTATGATATTCTTGTTGCTACCCCGGCAGTCTTTCGGGATGTATAACCTCGAGTGGCTCGGGAGCACACTAATTTTGGAAGTAGTCGACAATGCTGACACATTACTGATGAATTATGTTGAAGAAGCATTGTTATGAAGCAAAATAATGAGCCAGAGTTGGATAGGTACAGACAAGCCTAACAAGGCTCCGCATGCGCCATCTGTCTGTTATCTATCACCGTCAGATGAAATTACTTGTTTTCTTCAGATGGGATGCTATTCAGTAAAACTGAGTACTGTTCGGTACACTCCTTAGTCTGCACAGTACAATAATTTTACATTTTTGCAAATGTCCTGGGGCATTCCTTTTGAATTTACATATGTACTGCCATTAATTCCAGAACATGGTTTGCATTTTGTTGTTAACGCTCTGCATTTATGGTATACATTCATAAAGGCACCTTTTGATTGTAGGTTTTGGGAATGATATGCCGAGCTACCTGTTTGTTTTCTTCACCGAGGAACACATTTTATGATCATTCACTTCAGATTCATTGGACTTGGTCACATGCTCCTTAGGTACTGGAGATCATACAGATTTTAAAAATTCATTTTACGGTGCTTATCTTCTATAAAATAAGATTTCCAATGGAATCTGCGCATGGTTTGGATAGTAAATGTAAGCAACGTAGCGTTAAATAAGGGCAAAGAAATTGCACAAAAGTTCAAATCAAAGTGGCTCTAGGTTTTAAAATTAACTTTTCAGGAGGAAAAAAAAACAGTGGAGTTAATTTGTTGTCTCACTTTTTCTTTCCCCATTGTCTACGGCTACTTCATCACCCTCTTCTACCACCGCACTCCACAGGAATCATGATGAATGCGTCTCGGTGCTGGCGGGACTCCGCCTTTGGCACAGTCAGCAGCTGCAGGGTGGTCTTCAGGGATATATCCTGAATCCAGTCTTCAAAGACAACTTGAGGATCGCGCTGCTCGGCGGGTACGTCTGCTCTCCGTTTCATCACATGACTGTGCCTCTCACATTCTTTACATTGCTGTTTTTTGTACACCGCTAATTTCACATCTGAATGTATTGAATATAAATATTATACGGATACCTTGTTTAAAAAAAAAAGCCATCAAGGTTTTGTTGTAAAAAGTTCAATTTTTGTTTTATGCTTTCCGCCAAGCCGTGGCCAGCCTCCATCTGTTTTTTTTTCTTTGGAGTTGCAAATGAAAGGTGGAACAACACCTGTGCATCATTTTGTGTTACAGCAAATTTCAGTGAACACACATTGAAGAGAGTTGCCTTCAGGAGTTTGATAATTTGGGAGGAAACACTTGCTAAGGTTCTTTCCCTGTGATTTTCTCGGTGAAACAGACGAATCACACAAATATTGACAATAACGACCACAATATGTTCATATTTACTTTTGAATGAATATACAGGCTAGCATTGGCAGTCTGATCTAAAATTCAGTGTTTGTTTTTTTTTTTTTTTTGATTTTTTTTTTGCGGGTCTTGATCATTTTTTGTTGGACATTTAACTGAATCACTTAATGCAGAAAGAAGACCGTAAAAAGCAGGCAAAATTGCGAATGAAAGACAAACCCATGGCGCTCACAGAAATAAATTAAATCTGACAAAAGTAATAAGTTAAAACAAAAAGTGATGAAAATGAACCAATGAAAATCAGATGTTTTAAAATTTTGGTTCAACAGAATTATTAAAAAAAAAACAAAACTCATGAAACAAGGCTGGACAAAAATGATGGTACCAGTACAAAAGAGTGAAAACAATTTTACCATAGAAACATGTTCAACCAAGATGTGTCCTCTAATTAGTGTCTTCGAACTTATGTGTACCACACTAAACATCGAACAGAGCAGAGAGTTGTTTCTGTAGATTTGAAAGAAAGTGATAGAAAACCAAGCAGCTTCATGTTCCCGTGACTTCAATTGCACATGTTACTCAAACATTTACGATCCATGGCACAGCTTCCATGGATGTGACTGTAGGAGGAACATGGATGACAAATTAGAGACTGATTTTACAAACGGTAACAAAAGAGCCTTGGACAACCTCGACACAAATTGAAGGTGAACTCAAAGGTTAAGATACATCAGTGTCAGATCGCACCATCCGTTGCGATGTGAGGCAAAGTAGATTATATGGGAGCCCGCCGAGGAGGACACAGCTGTTGAAAATAAATCATTTTGAAGGATTGCCAAACTGCATGTTGACAAGCCACAAAGCCTCTGTGAGAATGTCCTCTGGATAGCCAAGACAAAACTTTTTTTTTGGGGGGGGGGCAAGGTACATCAGCTCCATGTTCACAGACACAGACACAAAAAAAATGAAGCATACCCCAGAAAAGAACACCGTCCCTACTGTGAAACTCGGAGAATAAGAACTCATAACCCAATAAGGGGGGCCATGAAGTATTTTCGTCAATTAAATTGCAGTAAATTTGTTGTTCTTTTTTAAAAATGTTTTATCAGTTTTAGTTTTTTTTTTTTTCGTGCGGATTACAAATAATGATTCATAATGTTTTGAAAGACGCTTATAAATGAAATGTATTATTATTATTATTATTATTGTAACTGCGTCTCATTTCCCAGGGGCCAAGCATGGGCAGACGAAGGCAGCAGCCTGGGGCCAGACCGCCACGCTCGCGACATTGAGAGTCTGGACCGTTACGCCATGGAGCGCTGGGAGGTGATCCTGCACTTCATGGTGGGTTCTCCCAGCGCTGCGGTCAGTCAGGACCTGGCCCAGCTGCTGATTCAAGCAGGCCTCATGAAAAGGTAGGTTAAGGGCTTTTGATGTAGAAAAGAACTGATTTTTTTTTTTTTTTCCCCCCACTCATGCAGGAAATTACTACCTTCCCGGGAGTGAGTCTTTGGAGTGACTGATGTGAATATTTATGAAGTACAAAAGCCTGCGTGTGCATTTTTTTTTTTTTTTTTAATCCGATAGCCTACATGAAAATTTGCACTGCTTGCAAAATTAGTCGTGCTGTGTTGCTGTCTCGCACCTTTGAGGAGTTAGGAAGTTTTACTACCTTGCTTGTGGGCGAGCGTCTAATCTGAGGTGGGGTTTAAATCCTTTCACTTTGACCTTTTTGGGGTTCTTTACTGACCCCCAATTATTACACTGTTACACAAATCAGTCTGACAAGTTCACGAAAACTCCTTTTGTATCATTTTTCACTCCAATGAAAAACAAGATCCATATCAGACGGTCTTAATAAGCCAACAGGTAGAGCATCTAAAAAATGGGTTCAGAGTACGTAGTCATAACATATACATTTATGCCCCAAAAGATTTTTCACAAAACACTGAGTTTCTTTTCAGAATTTTCTAGGGCACACTTACTTTACTCCAGAATGGCACCCAAGGTTTTTTTTTTTTTTTTAACTAACATTCATTCAATGTTGGACCATCGCTCTGAGTGACACCAGTGAAAGTCTAGCAAAGCTAAATCCTTCATGTAAAACAGGGGGTGTCAAACTCATTTTTGTCGCGGGCCACATTGGCGTGACCGTTTCCCTTGGAGGGCCGTTATGACTGTGAAAACATAGAATGAAGTGAAGAATAATGGTTCATTTAACGATTGTTTAAGTTAGTGTAATGAGGGATTTGGTAACAAGAAAATGCTGACAATATCTCGCTTATTTATTACATATGAGAAGTTGAAATTTTGGTACAGATTTCAGCAATCATCGTATAAGTGGACATGTTTGATTTGCTTTCGCGGGCCACATAAAATGACATGGCGGGCCAGATCTGGCCTTGGGGCCTTGGGTTTGACACCTGTGATGTAAAATAATCACATTTTCAAAGAGTTCAGCCACGGCCTGTGTGCACTGGGAAGTTAATAAAAACATACTTTTCAGAGGTTGTGTACTCATTTATGTTAGAGTGCAGAGATGAAACTATCTGGAAAAATTATCTTCATGGATTGCTTGACAAGCGTAAATGGCCGTAATCCATGTTCCCTTCAACGTTTTCGCAGTGAGGCAGGAGAGGCCCCCTCCATCACCTCTGCTGGCTTCCAGTTCCTTCTGCTGGACACTGCCTCTCAGTTGTGGTACTTCACCCTGCAGTACCTCAAAACTGCTCAGGTAACCATCGAACGTTCCGCCCTGACCTTTTACGACTTTGGAATTTCGATGAGCTATGTGCCACTGTGTCCCTGAAAGCCCGTCATTGCTCTGATTAGCACGCACTTGGGTGGAGAGGGCGGCGCGGTAATACAAGGGCCTACGAGACCTAGGTAATATAAATGACTTGCGTTCTAATCATCGGTTGTAAAACGGGCTACCTAAGGACAGTCACCTTGTACAATAGCAGGGAAAAAGAAATTCAATCTGAATAAGCGGTCATTTCCAGGCTAAGTCCAAAAATAATGTGAAATGTTGAAATTCGGGCACGCCGAATCTGACTCAATTGACCATTGCTGACAGCACTCATTTAGATCCTGTAACATCGCTTAGTTATGCTTAGTTTTTGAGCAAAGGCAGGACATGATTCATCATCATTTTTTATGAACTTTGTCACTCGATTGACGTACAGGAGAGATATGAAGTCTCAGTCCCGTTCCGCTGTACCTGGGCAGTGGAAAAGTCATCAGTTTCATTATGCAAGGGGGTGGGGGGTGTTCATGCAGTTATGCGAGCAACACGAATGTACATATAAAGAATTTTCAAACTATTCATCGGTAAACATATTTAGCAATTTTGATTGTACCGTAAATTTCCGCACGATAAGGCGTTTCGGAGTATAAGGCACACCTTCAATGAATGGCCTGTTTAAAACCGTTTCCATATACAGGGCGCACCGCTTTATAAGGCGCATAGAATCGAAGCTACAAGTGTGGCTGCGATTGTGTTATGCATCCACTAGATGGAGCTATGCTAAAGGGAATACAATACAATACAGTGACGTATAAGGCACACCTTCAATGAAGGGCCTGTTTTAAAACTGTTTTCATATATAGGGCGCACCGCTTTATAAGGTGCATAGAATAGAAGCTACAATAGTGGCTGCGGTTGCATTATGCATCCACTAGATGAAGCTATGCTAAAGGAATACAATACAATACAGCTTTATTTCTGTAGCGCTTTCACGACCCCTGCAGCAGTAACAAAGCGCTTTACAGCACATTTAAAGTACTACTGCCAATAAATCTGAATATTGATCCATATATAAGGCGCATCGGATTATAAGGCGCACTGTCATCTTTTGAGAAAATCGAATGCTTTAAGGTGCGCCTTATAGTGCAGAAAATACGGTCCTTATTAGGTAGATCATTTTGACTTGATAATTGAATAAGTAGCTGCGCTTACTCAAAAGTGTGTGAGCTCCACTGATGTCGGGGGGGAACAACACACCAAGCTAGCAAGCTTTCAACAAAATGCTTTTACAATGCAATGCAAGGCTGTCATTATAATCAGAGTAAATGTAGATGTAAGAAGCCACAAGAAGTACAGAAAGTGTCACAGGCTGTTCTTTCACTCGCCGGCTTGGCTGTGAGTTGCCTAACAACCACGTCCAAAGCTGCCGCTGAGTCGTTTCTTTTTCCAGCCTGGTATATTTGGAGCCTTTTAAGCAACCTGTGGGGAGTTGATTCCAACTGTCATTTTAAAAAATGGGCGTGATTACCATATTCTTGAAGTGTCTGAATACCTGCTTACCCACGACACGATTTTAAAACAACTCCTCTGCGTGATTATCCGCAGCTATGGCGAATAACTAAATATGAATAAGGACCGCAGTTATTTTTAATGGCGTTTTCTCCACTCTGACACCGAATGCACCCCCCCCCCCAAAAAAAAAATTGTTTTAACTTCAGATGCAAATTGGCTTTTGACTGTCAGTACTCATCTCATTATGTCAGGAACATGAAGCCCCTGCATCATCATCTTTATTTGTCAACTGTTTGACGACCGACAGCAACTTTCTGATTCATCACAGTGACAATTCCTAATCGTTAGAATTTTAATTTTGTGACTAAGTTGCGAAAGAATTGAATTTTGCCCGAATCCAAACTGAATTTCAGATATCTGCAATGTTGTCACTTTTGCCATTCGTGGCTGTAAGATTCATTTGCGGATATCTGTAAGGGAATTATGGATAGCTGCAGCCAAATTGCAAATATCCCTCACCGACAACATCATTTTGACTACAGTGAAACTCCTCTACAACGAAATCATGTTTGCAGCAAGAAATTTTTCACAACAGGGGGTTTTTCACTGTAGCAAATTTGATATCAGATGTAAGCACACACACACCCACACACCCACACACACAAACGTATGTGTACACGCACACACAAACGTATGTGTACTCTATTTTTATTCCAATAGTGCATAAGTATGAGCACACACTGATCTGACACTTGATATTGTCAGTGTAGAAAGAAAAAAAAGGGAAAGAAATTGCGAAATTTACGATCAGCATTCACTTTCACTTACCTCAATTTCTTGGATAATGTCTTTTATTTTGCTTGCTCCGTCTTTCATTTTGACCACTTTTACCCTCTCTTCCAGCATCAGAGCTCTTCTTGTCTAAGCTGCTTGACATCCAAATGTCCGTTTTGTAGCCATTTTAGCAATGCAATCCGTCGAGCCACTGGAGCGCTAATGAGAGAGAAGCGCTCCAGTTAGCGTTAAGGTTTTTAGTCTTCGAGAGCTAACTATGGCCATCGAGGACTACGAAGCGTCCCGTGGGTGTTTTTAGCATGATAACAAGTAAAGCATTCGAGGAAACGGTTTATTTGAATATCCGTCGAGCCATAAGCAATTTACCCTGAGCAGCTAATCGGATGCTACAGATCTAGCTTCAGTATCTACACACATAGACAGTGAGGTCCCTCTTGGCCAATCGGAGGCCAGGATGATGCTCGGTAAGCCAATGGCAGAGCAGCTATGAGTATGTTGAGTCCAGGAAACTCGCAACTGTGACCGAAATAAACATCGTTCACTATGTAAATCAGTGTGGTGGTTGCTGTTGCCTTTTTTCGAACGAAGCAGTAGAGGTCGCTGTTGGATAAGACTTCGTTGTAGTGAATGTCTTCGCGAGGCTGGAGCAGATAAAATTATTTCGTATAACGCAACAGGGGGCTTTTCGTCGTATGGGGGGCAGGAGAATGGGAATTATGTTAATGCATGAAGATTTTTTCACATAAGGGGGTATTTTCGCCCATGTAGGTTTCGTTCTAGAGGAGTTTCACTGTACTTATAATTTCAAGTTAATCTTCCAATTCATTTTCCACTGTATTAAAAACCCAATTTAAGAAGAAATGACATGTATTCATGAATTGAAGTGATTTAAAAATTGTAAAACTGCAATTGTGACCCGTCAGAATCACATTGTAGATATCTGTAACTGCAGAATGACATTGCTATCATTGATGGTTTTTTTTTTTTGTAACTGATGCCAATTCGATAATTGGCAGAATGATATTTCGATTAATCTGTCGATTTAAGTGCGATTCACCTTATTAATTTGTCCTTTATTGTTTAACCTCACATCAGAAAAAAAAATCTTAAAAAATCGCTTTTTCCCCACCTTTGGGTGAATGATGCCTCACTGTGATTATTTTTTAAAAATTTGTTTATACTTTGTTTTTTTCAAACGTGTTAAAAAAAGGCAAAAATCTGCAGAAATCAGCGGATTTAAAAGCACGATTGTCCGATTAAAGCGTCTGGCAGATTGATCGGGCGGTTAATAATAATATAGATGGCAAACACAATTGGCAAAACTGAAATAAAATATTTACCCCGAGGCCAAATGATGTTGCAGATATCTAAAATTTTGACGCCGCTGCACAGAATGTCTGTTCATTATTGAAATGAATATGAGGATGTCTTGTAATTGTTTTCTCTTGTAGTCACGAGGGATGGGCCTGGTGGAGATTTTGTCTTTTTTGTTCCAGCTCAGTTTCTCAACGTTGGGCAGAGTGAGTGCACAGTAATTAAACCCGCGTGCTTGTGTGTGCGAGCGTGTGCGCGTTTGTGTGCTAAAATTGATGTTGCTGGTTTCTTGCTTGGTTTGACTTTTTTTTTTTTCCATGTTATTGAGAATGTGTTTCTCTTGGCCTCAGGATTACTCAGTGGAGGGCATGAGTGAGTCATTACTCATATTTCTGCAGCACCTTCGGGAGTTTGGACTGGTCTTCCAGAGGAAGGTAGAGACTGAGAGGGAGAGGCAAGGTTTTGCTACACTCCCTTCAAGTACTATTTCCTTCGATGAGAAGCGACACGATGACCCACATGGGGACGCCGATTTATTGCTGCAGTAAAACGGCAACCCGGCTTCCGCCAAGTCTGCCTGCGTCACTTCTGGAATGTCAAATTCTAATTCACAACAGCCCAAAAATATGTTTGTATCTTTATCGAACCGTAATGAAAGAAGTACAGTGGTATTTCTACTTACGAAATTAATTGGGTCCGGAAGAAAATAGAGACGCGTTTTCCATGTAAATGCCTGAATTCGTTCCAAGCCCCCCACCAAATTCAGACATACATGTTTTATGAAGCATAAAAATGCATTAAAATATAGAACAAATACATGAAATACATGTTACAATTAGATTATAGTACAATAAATGAGAGTTGTGCATAATGTAAAAAACAAAGACTAAAGAATAAAACTGATGGTCATTTAACTTTTAGCTGCGTCCTCTTCGTTTTTTTGCCCTCGATAGTCCATGACCTCCCTCAGAACTGGTTTTCGCCTGGCGTTTTGTAAAGAACTGATCCGAGGACGTTTGCTTTTGTCGCCTTTTAACAATCCCTCGAAAATGTCCAAGGCAAACATCGGCATAGTGAGCGATCGCCCAACTGGTGAACACTTTTTCTGGGTGATTCGCATTTACGTAAAACTATCGGAACACCTCATGGACGCTGCATAAACGCATCTTTCTATCGCCACACATAGACACATCCAGTAGAGGTCCCTCTGAGCCAATGGGATGCCAGGAAAATGCTAGGTGATAGCCAATGGCAGAGCAGCGAAAAGTATGTTGCGTTCAGGAAACTCGGAGCTGCAATAAGCAGGCTATACATGTACTGTATTTTTACCTTTTCGTATCTTGAAATTTCTTTCGTAACAAGAGGCAATATTTTCCTGTTGAGATGTTTCGTAACCAGAAAATTTCGTATGAAGAGACATTCGTAAGTAGAGGCACCACTGTACCTCTAAATTTGGTACAACTATGTCCCCCCCAAAAATATCAGCCTTTTACATTGAACCCAACATCCTGTAATAGATGCTGTGAATGTATTTTTGTTCAACGAAAATATACCGGTTCCTTTAATATGGTCAACAGTTTTGACTGATATGCTCCTTCTTGGCATACTGTAAATGTGTTTTTATTTGATATGTATTAGTTGGAGATGTATGCTTTGGTTGAAATGTTCCTACTGCTTTTTTAACGTTATTCAGCTACATTAGCGGACTCTGGTAGCACGTTGTTCAACACAACTGCCAAGTTATTTAGGGTTGATCTAACGACGGATGAATCAATCTTTGAACACTTTCAAGAAAACATCATTACACTTTTTATTGGATCTCAAAGTGCAGCTGTACCTAATACACCGTACACATCCGAAAGCGCAATCGGCTCTTATGTTTTGCTAGTGCCTAGCGAGCAACGATGCTAACGTGCGCCGCTTGTACAAATATGACTCCAAAAGTACCAACTTGATTTTAACCCTTTCAGACAGCCTGTAACCTGATAAGATGTCTACTGTAGTAAAGCACATGTGTCAAACTCAAGGCCCGGGGGCCAGATGTGGCCCGCCGTATCATTTTAAGTGGCCCGCAAAAGCAAATCAAAGATGACAACTTCCATGATGCTTACTAAAATCTGTACCAGAATTTCACATTTTCATATGTAATAAATCAGTGACATATTGTCAGCATTTTCTTGTTGCCAAACCTCTCATTACAGTTACTGAAACAATAGTTGAATAAAACATTATACTTGACTTCTTTATATAGTTTCGGTCATCACGTCCCTCCAAGGGAAATAGTAATTATAATTTGGCCTGAGACAAAAATGAGTTTGATACCCCTGGGTTAAAGCATGATGTTTGGTCTGATTCTTTTTATCCTATTCCCAGAGAAAGTCGAGGCGGTACTACCCCACCAGACTGGCCATCAGTCTAGCTGCAGGAATCACGAGCAGCTCTTCTTCCACATCCTCCTCTCTTAACTTGGGCTCCACTCCTGGTACTGGGGACGCAGGCTTCATTGTGGTTGAAACAAATTATCGCATCTACGCCTACACAAGTATGTTCGAGAATATCATGATTAGGGAATACTGGCAAGGCAGCGTTTTGGAAACCATTTACCTTATTGTTCTTGAGTGCATATCTGATCATGGCTCATAGCTTGCCTGGCTCTGCGCCGATTCCAAAATACAGCGGCAGGCATTTGGAATGTATTGACTTGATGTTGTCATTTCTGTTTTCATGTTTTTTTCTCATTTTGCCGCAGATGAAATGATTAACTTATTTGCATTGGGTGTGTGTGCATGTGTGTGTGTTGGTGTGCGTGTGTGTGTTTCCTCCCCCTCCACCCAGACTCTGAGCTCCAGATTTCTCTAGTAGCGCTCTTCAGTGAAATGTTGTATCGCTTTCCAAACGTGGTGGTGGCTCAGGTCACAAGAGAGTCGGTGCAACAGGCCATCGCGAATGGCATCACTGCACAACAGGTATACCCAAACTCTACTTGAACTAAGGGAACAAGGGTGACGGTGATCTCTGACAAAACTGCCCGTTTAAAACTTTCTGACAAGATTCACCCGTTTCTAAAATCGCAACACTACTGTTGATCTATTATGTCAAAGTAATGGCCAGCATACTCTCCAATTTGGTATGCTCACTTATTGTACAAAGGCAATATCAAAATATGTGCTCTAAAAACAATTGAAGTACAGTGGTACCTCTACTTATGAACGTCTCTTCATATGAAATTTTCCAGTTACGAAACGCCTCAACAGGAAAATATTGCCTCTTGTTGCGAAATAAATTTCAAGGTACGAAAGGCAAAAGACAGTATCGACTGCTTCTTGCAGCGTCGGGTTTCCTGAACGCAACATACTTATAGCTGCTCTGCCATTGGCTACTCCCGAGCATCATCCTGGCATCCCATTGGCTAAGAGGGACCTACCTAAATAGATCTGTGCCGATGCAGCGTCCTCGTCATTCGCCCCTTGGGCCATGAGCCATTCCGTTAGTTTTACGTAAATGCGAATCACCCAGAAAAAGTGTTCACCAGTCGGGCGATTGCTCACTATGCCGATATTTGCCTTGGATATTTTCAAAGCTTTGTTAAAAGCCGACAAAAGCAAACGTCCTTGGATCAGTTCTTTACAAAATGCCAGGCAAAAAACCCTTCTCAGAGAGAACATGAACTAAAGAGGGCAAAAAATGACGAGGGCGCAGTTAAAAGTTAAATGACCATCATTTTTATTTACCCTATTCTTCGTTTGTTACATGATGCACAACTCTCATTTATTGTGCAAGAATGTAATTTTAACATGTATTTGTTCCATATTTTGATGCATTTTTATGCTTTAGGAAACATTTATGTCTGAATTTTGGGGGGCCATGGAACGAATTAGGGCATTTATATGGAAAAAGCGTCTCTACTTACAAAATGTTCTAGTTAAGAAATTTCTTCCAGAACCAATTAATTTTGTAAGTAGAGGTACCACAGTATCAAAGTTTGATGAATTGAATATGTATGATGGAACCAAAACTGTAGAAAATGTTTGGATTCAACTCTTTCCCCTATATTACTTCAATTTTGCAGATCATCCACTTTCTGAGAACCAGAGCACACCCTATCATGCTGATGCAGGTAATGTTTTTTTTTTTTTGTAATTGTAAAAAAGTACTAGCTGTACACGCATCAATGTCGTCGAGTATCTTCTTCACCGAACATCTCTTGCGCTGCAGACACCGGTGCTTCCTCCAACCATAACAGATCAGATCCGACTTTGGGAGCTGGAGAGAGATAGACTACAGTTCACCGAGGGTGAGCGAATTTACTGTTCTCGGTATATGTGTGCGCAACTGTGATTGCATCGGGAGAATTTATGGTATCGCAGTCGGCGGTGTCAATGCCGGCTAAAAAAAAAAAGTACATTGATTACATTTTAGTGAAACCTTCAAACAGAATTTAGAGATCCTTATGCTGTGCAGCTGCAAAATGTACATTACAACACGTGTGATTTTGATGAACCCTTTCAGGGACAGCGGTCACTACAGTGGACAGTTGACCATGTTATCAAGTCACAGGGTGCATGAAAGGGTTAACACACATTCCTTGAAGTTAAATGTCAGTTCAGATGTCTGTTTGGTTGGAGTCGACGAACAAGAAATACGTTTTCATTGGCAAAAGCAGGTCCTATGAGGTTGTTGTAGTACCTTGTGAGTTGAGGTTCCACTCCGGATACTCTGTGATTACGATTACTCAGGTGTTCTGTCCTCAATTGCGTAATTTTCTTTCGTTGGCTTTTCAGGTTGGCAAAAATTCTCTTGGCTTTTCTACACTCTTCGAGATAAATAGAGCTGGAACTTTTGATCTCTCCTTCCTTTCAGGTGTGCTCTACAACCAGTTTCTCTCCCAGGCGGACTTTGAAGTGCTTCGAGATAGAGCTCAGGTTGGATTTCGGTTCTTTTTTTTTTTTTTTTTTCCTCAAGGTTGATGTTGTATTATTATGTTATTTAGTATTTAGAATGCTGGTTATGTTAGTCCTTAATGAGCAAGGAACTTGCATATTGTGCCTTAAAGTAAGTCCAAAAGGACTCCCTACACCTCAGTTATTAGAGCCAGATGATTTCACCATCTAATTTGCAAAAAAAAGGACGTATAAAAGAAAAGTTATGATCAAATATGAATATTTTAAATGTTTTTATCATCAATGTATTTATTAACATACAAAACATATGGGTACTTATTTGTGTTTTAAAGGCTTGTACTTGTGGAAATCTGTTGCCACATCATGATTGGGTGTTGATGTGGGAAAACGTAGAGTGCCAAATGTACGGAAATCACCGAACATGAATTTGTTATGCATGTAACATTTCGGGATTGTTTTGAAAATTGGAAAAAAAAAAAAAAAGAACGCTGCTACTGAGGGCAAAAAACGATGAGGACGCAGTTAAAAGTTAAATGACCATCATTTTTATTCTTTATTCTTTTTTTAAATTTTTTATATTATGCACAACTCTCATTTACTGTGCAATGATGTAATTGTAACATGTATTTGTTACATATTTTGATGCATTTTGATGCTTTACGAAACATTTATGTCTGAATTTTGGGGCGGCTTGGAACGGATTAGGGCATTTACATGGAAAAAGTGTCTCAACTTACAAATTTCCTAGTTAAGAATTTTTTTCCAGAACCAATTAATTTCTTAAGTAGAAGTACCACTGTACTGGTATAGAGAATATTTGTCTTATTCCTAATTAACTGGTCTAAGCCCAGAAATTCACAGCTGTGAGGCTACCATATTATGTTGCATGCTAAAATGCTAGCTGCTTCAGTGAAGTTGTGCAAAAATTGTTAAAGCCTTTTTTAAAATGCCTTTTATTTTTGATACAAGAAATGCTAAGTGTAATTTTCAATGTATATTTATTTGAAATTGACCCACTGAAAATGTTTTTAAAAACTGTTGATTGTATGAAAAAAGGAAATCAAATGGTTGTTCGTTTTTGAGTGAAATGTATTATTAAGTAAAAATAGTTAAACGGATACACGATTATTCCATGTAATTTATTCGAATACTCGAATGCTGAAATATTTGAGAGCTATCCCAGCTAACTTTGAGTGACAGACACTTTTTCAGAGACAGGCAGCTCACAAAAGATTCACTTGGTTGCTTATTTGGTGGGAAGGTGTTAATAACCCTGCAATTCGTACACAACAAATTAGATCAGATTTTTTTTTCTTTTGTCCCTTTAAATTAAAAAATGGCTTTCTAGAGACAAATGTTTACTTCTTCTATCCACTCAGAGAACATCCAGTTTTGTATATCTCTATTGAATTGAATGTAAATGATGTGCTAATATAGCGTCCATGGTCTAATTGGGTTGTTTTGTCGCAGGGTCTGGATTGTCTGGTGTGGCAAGATGTAGCTCACAGGGTGATGGTGGTGACACCACACGGACACAGTGAGGTCAAGAGGTTCTGGAAACAACAGAAGTCTCACACATAACCAGGAGAAGAGGAAAGCGAAAGGATGCTGTACCACGAGTGAGCACTTCTGATGGACTGTGAAGCAGTTGCTCTCAGCTGTTGTTATGCTGGGACCGGTATTTTCCTGTCGTCGAAAGTCGTGACCCACTTTTGTATAAGTTAACAGTAATGAAAATGTATTCTAAAAATAAAAAAATCAACCTTTGCAACGGTTAAGAATGCTAAGCCTCTCATAACACATGATCGATAAACTGAGGAGTTACGTGCATGAGGTATTTGTACGAAAAACCTCTCGTCCATAAATATAAAAGAATCAAATGAGAAACAGTAAGCACAACACTGAGAATGCCCTCAAGTGCCGCGTAACCACATAAGTCGTTTTTGTATGTAGATCACAGGTCAGGTTTATGGGAATTTGGATCATGTTCAAATTTTGTTAGCAGCAGTCAGGGATGCAACCAGGGTGGGAAAAGTGATGGCGAGTCTAAGGGCCCATGACAGATTGGTCCAAGAAAATAACATTTTCTACAGTTTTGCTGCGGAGGAACCGAAAATGAAATTTTTATCACAGGGCTCCAAACCCTTGTCTGTGCCTCTGATAGCAGTACTTAAGAGTTCAACATGGAGCCAGAATTATTATCTTCAGTTTTGATGACATTGTCATTTGAGTTTCATTTAAGGTGCAGGTGGCATTAGGTGTCGTGCTCAGGTGGGGATACATCTTGGAAAAAAATGGCAGGACATCTCGTGGCTGCGACACCATGAGAACACTCTTGCAATAAGCATTGGACAGTTCCTGGCAGAAAGGAACGTCACCATGCTGGAACAACCTCACTAACAACTCGCCTGACCTGGCTCTGTCATTTTCTTATTTTTTCCCTCAAGCTCAAAAGTGACCTGTTTTGAAGATGTTCATGTAGCTTTGGGGGTCCTGGAAGAATCTTTCCAGGAGTGTGTCAAGGTGTGGCAGAGAAGTCAGGGAATTGCTTTGGAATCCCAGAAGAGTACTTTGATGGAATTTTTCTGACACACCTCGTGTACACTGAACAACACACCATGCCTGTTGGGGGTATTGGTCAAATATGAGCATGCATTTCTAGTATTTGGTATTTTTCCAAGAGGTCTTGTCCCATATATCGCAAATTAATTCTTAATGTGATTGTCTTTCTGTTTTATCTGTTTGTTTTTTAAATAAAAACCAAAGTGACTAAATAGGCAAGCGGCATGTTACATTTACATATTATAATCACATTGACGGTAAAAAGGATCAGATTTCTAGAACCTGCAAGCAATTTCATTCTCTCATTCTAACCAAACATTTGTGCCACTGTGAAAATATTTGATCACATGAGCAGAATCAAGTTTTCACCAGGTCTGAACTTAAGATTGCTGCATTTGTAACTTGCCAAGTGAGATGTAAACAGTATTAGTGGTTAAGTGAATACTGAATCTGTAATATTGCTACCACTCTTCCAGAAATGATCCCTTACACTAGACCAGGGGTCACCAAACCTTTTTGAGAGTGAGAGCTAGTTCATGTGTACTGATTGTGTGAAGGGCTACCAAATTGATACACGTCTGAAATAACATTTGTACAAATTACATTTAATAAAATTGGAATGTGTTATTTTTCATACAGATTTTAATTTTCAGGCTCTGATCATCTTAAAGATGTCTCACAATACTGCCAGTGTTTGCATTTTTAAATCATAATTTCTACTAGCAAATCACAATCCGGGCTATTGGTGTGGTCCTCACGGGCTACCTTGTGCCCGCGGGCACCACGTTGGAGACCCCTGCACTAGACCATCTCCTCTATACCTATTCATGTCGATTAATTTCGATTCATATTTTGTCATTGTTTACTTGATAAAATATGTCAAGTCACATCCCCCCCAAAAACAGAATGATAGTGAACACTGGGAGATACACGTATGTGCAATGTGACTGAATTAGTTGACAAGGTGATACCAAAACGAGGAAGTTTGTGGGGTGTCATGTGCGAAACCATCCTGGGTACACCGTCACACGCGCAGCTTTATTGGATGGAGCGCGTTTAGCTAGCGTTAGCTCGACGGAGAAGTCTAGCATGGAAGCCTCAACGCGACGTTGTAATGGATGAATACAAAGTTTCTTCCCTCCCCCAAAAAACCGATGTAGGACACGCACAACACGCCTCGTTTCGTGGCGAGTTTAACACGGTGCGAACGGAAAGCTAGCGACAGGCCGCAAATGGAGCCCGAAACCTCGCGTAAAAGTCCGGCCGACGCGGGGTGCTCCAAACGGCCCGACTTGAGGGAGGAGACGCCGGGGGAAGAAGCTAAAGGCGTAGACGTGAGCACAGTGGTGTTGAGGCGAAAAGGGGGAGACGAAGCAGTCAAATGTAACGATGTGAAATCTGAGCGTGGGGGTGGCGAGGAAACTGAGTATCAGCTGAAAAGCGGAGACGAAGAGGATGCTGGCAAACATGAGGAGGAGCTGGACCCAAGAATTCAGGTAAGATGCTAAACGAAGCCGGTTCTTAAAACAACCTGTCAAATCCCCCAATTTTATTTTCATATTATCCCACGTTGCTAATTTATTACAAAAAGCTAAAGTTGGCATTTTTTACATTCCAAATGTCAGTTGAACTGACTTGATTCTGCTCATTTCAGAAAAAAAAGAAAATTGTGGCTTCACTGTTCCAATACATTTGGAAAGGAAGGTATACAACTGCGCCTACTCACAATTAAAACATGTATTTTTTTGGTGACTTCTGATTGAGAAACTGAATTTTTAAAAAGGAGAAGAATAATATTTGGAAATTTAAGGAAAGAGAGGACAAAGCAGGGGTCAGCAACCATTTGGAACTTGAGATGCTTATTAAAGGGCACAAGATACACACGTGTGAAACATAAATGCTCTCTAATAAACTGTATTAATGTTGTTATATTCTACCATGAATAATGAAGAATATTCATTTACAGTATATGACGACACTGATCATGTTCATGATTTCTCTCAATATTTAAACAATATCAAGATGCATCTCTTTAACCCTTTCGTGCACCCTGTAACCTGATAACATGATAAACTGTCCACTGTAGTAACCGCTGTCCCTGAAAGGGTTATTTTTAATTCTGCTATTCATAGAAAATCACACTGTTCAATCACACTGGTGGGCTATTTTTAGAATTGGCTACTGATAATGTTATTGGAGGCTACCTGGTGCCCGCAGGCCCTGTGATCAAGGGTAGGGCTGTGCGATATGGAAAAAAAAAAATTCTCGCATGATTTAGGCCATTTTATATCACGATAACGATATGCCATGATATATTTTCAGTTATTTTATGAAAACCAATTATACAACATACTATGGCTGCTTACCATTTTTTTCACTGTTTTGATACAACAAATCTGTGTCAAATGAGAAATACAGTAGTGCCGCTACAAAAAACTATCAAATGTAAACAGAACTACAGTAGCCTACATAGTTTTTGCACAAATTGGAGGAATAAAAAAAAACATGTTGTTTCTGACAGAAATTGATCCAAAATTAAAAATAAGTAAATAAAAAAGATGAGCTCTTCTAATTTGGATTTATTGTGCAGAATCTCAAAAATCAAAATCAAAACTCACAAGTATCTTGTGAAAACAAATCACATTACTCATCTTATATGTATTCAATGTACTCTGCTGTATCCATCCATTTTTTTTGAATTGTTTATCCACAATATTCATATACTTTGAATCTCTTAGGCACTCCTCCTGGCTGACATACAGGATGCCATAACAATCATAATCCTTTGCTGTTGAGCTGTGTGTGTAGCATTATTTTGTATAATCTTCTCTCTGGACACTTATTAAATTGCCTCCTCGGTTCCCCTTGTGAGGAACGATGCTTTCTATCGTCTTCACAATATATATCGTCCAGTTCTAAGAGTCAGTCGCATCCATACCACTAGTGCAAAATAGATATTACTGGTACTGATTGTGATATAATGACAAAACAGACATTCCCTAAATCACAACATACTCCAATGTAGGTCACCATGGGATAATTGGGAACCATGTTCTGGATTTCAGGTACTTTGATGAGAGGTGACAAGACAAAAATAAGCAACAATGAAGGATAACAATGTGGTCTTTCTTCTGGTCATGTAGCTGGTTGTGTCAAGAAGAAGGCCAGCATTGTTGAGAAAAGGCACCTTTTGTGTCCTTCCGTTCTATATTCGGTCACACAGAAATGACCGTTCGCTGTCGACCGGCAATGACCGAAAAAGAAGCTTGCATTGTTCGTGCTAGCATGAGGCTGTATCTGCAGTCAGAGAAGTTTCTGCAGCTCAGTCACGCAGCTCTTCCAGGATATCAAATCCATTCGCAGAAGGTTTGTTGTTTCTCTCACCGCAGAATTTAATACATTTGAAATACCAGTTATGAGTACTCAACTCTTGAATGCTCACTGATACCGATACCAAGTAACCGATACACTAGTATTTTGAGACCAAAAAATTCTATTAAACCAATGGCAAAGACCCTCCGTTTATTTCTGACACAAGGCAGAAAGAGTCACTCTCCAATAGGGAATTCAAGTTCAAAACACAACACAAACAAGTCACTCTGATTTCGGATTCATTTGTAATAAATGAAGCAAAGTGCAAAATAAAACTCACCTCCATGAATTTTTGACTTTCTTCAAATAAATTGAAGTGAAAAATAAGACCGGTTTAACTGTTCACCGTGACACTATGAAGTTGGAAAACAGGGGTGGGTGAAACAGCGGGGAAAAAAAAGAAAAATCACAAAAAAGGATATTTACTTGCTGTGTGAAAAGTTTCAAAGTTTATTCAAACTTAGCTCGTACTTGCTCGGAAGGAGATGAATGGCATGAATCTGTTTGCGAGGGAGGTGTATACTATTCCCTTCAATAAAATCAACACACGCTAAAGATGCTAAGCTAACAACTACGCTCCATTATATTTGAAGGGACTCTCTTCTGCTAACGCGGCCGCCACGTCTGTCCATACATTGTTTTGAATCGCGGCCCTTCTGGAACTTACAGACTTTGAAAGGACACGTTTTCTGTCCCTTGGTTCTGGGTCCATTTAGTCTAGGCTGCACTGTTACTATTTTGGGTACAACTGACGATGTCGATAATTATATCGATGATTTTCATACGTGTGGCTTTTCCTGTGTTTACCAGGAGGAACTCGAGCAGCTCAACCAGGCCAGCGAGGAGATCAACAAACTGGAGCTTAGTTTGGATGTGAGAACGTTTGTTTATCGAGCACTGCAAATACAGTACTGTACATCCACCAGCTTTCACGTCCCACTGACAACGTCGCTCAATTTTTACAGTGTCATATCCTGTTTTTAAGCTGTTTAAGATGTATTTTCACCTGTATACTTTCTTCAGGATGCCAGGTCCAGCTACAGGAAAATTCTCACCGATTCTGCCAGGAAGCTGAATGCTCAGGGCTCCCAACTCGGTTCCTGTATTGAGAAAGCCAGGCCTTACTATGAAGCCCGCAGACTGGCCAAAGAGGTGTGTGGAACTTATGTTCAATCAGGGATGAAAGTCCTTCGGATTTTCCCGGAATTCTGGATTTTCAAATTTTCATGAAAATTGAGCAAAAATTGCCTAAAATTAATTCGGATATTAGTTGACAATAGTGAACGAACACGTGTTTGAGTTCTTTGTTTTGCTCGACTTGAGAGGCGTTCATGACCGCCTCGGAAAAACGTAAATTAACGATTACTTCAATAAAACTACGAAAATTGAAAATAATGCAGCAAAACAGAAAATCAAGTGAGGAAATCACAAAATAAATTCTATAGCCCCCCCCCTACATAATTTATTTTGTGATTTCCTCGTTTGTGAATACAGTACACAACAAAGGAATAAATAAACACTTCAGAGACAGTCCAGTCTCCCACATTTTACTGGCATCTGATCGTTCTGTTGGAGCTATGCTCAAGGAAATGCCAAAATAAATTCTGTAGGGGCGCTATCGAATTTATTTTGTGATTTCCTCACTTGATTTTCTGTTTTGATGCATTCTTTTAAATTTTCGTAGTTTCATTGAAGTAATCGTAAATTTACGTTTTTCGGAGGCGGTCATGAACGCCTCTCGAGTCGAACCGAAGTAGCGTAGCTCTATCTAGTGGATGCATTGTAGATTGTGCCTTATAATCCAGTGTGTCCAATAAATGAAAAAAAAATGACAAAATAGGCCATTCATTGAAGGTGCGCCTCATAATCCAGTGCGCCTTTTAGTGCGGAAAATACGGTTATTCATTAGTTTAGCTTGGAAAACGCATCCGAGCAGAAAAATGCACTTCGTTATTGTCATACATGGTCAGGCAAAATGATCTGACACATTTGTAGATTAAATAAAAGGCAAATAAAGTAAAGAAACAAAAAAAAAAGTGTTTTTATTTTCCAAAAGTACATATAACGCCGTTCTCTTTCGTTATGTTTTTAAAATGAAGCGGAGTTCTGGCGGTGCGAGGTCGGCCGGTTGATTTTCGTTTCAATGCAGATCCAGTAGCTCTGAAGTTGGTCACCCATAACAAGATCGTGTTTCGAGCTGGTACGAGATCATGTCTGCCAAGACTGACGTGCAAACGGAACGCCCGTTGTGTTGCAGTTACAGATTCGTTCACGGCAGCAACTGAAAAAGAAACGAAAAACAATGCCATTACAAAGAAACAAAGCGAAATGGCATTATATGAAAAAAAAGGGCATTTTATGTACTTTTCGAAAATAAAAACCCTTTTTTGTTTCTTGACTTTATTTGCCTTTTATTTAACCTACAAATGTGTCAGATCATTTTGCCTGACCCTGTATTTCACTTTTCTGGCAACATTTTCAACACACGGGTTACGTCCATGTGAAGGAGGGTCTGAAAATGGCTGGCATTGACTGAGCTACTTTTTGTTGTTGTTGTTTCTTTTTTTTTTCTTTTAATACAAGTATCCCAACATGAGACCTTTTTTATATGGCTGTAAGTCAAGCGCAGCAGTGGTGAAAACCTAGTAAACAAATAAAATCTTTAAGAGCATAGCAGTGGCGGGGCACAAAATAACAAATGACATTGAACGAGACTGTTTGAAGCTAAAATATAAAAATAGAACCTCAGAAATTCCCCTTGCAATAACAACAATATGTAAAAAATGGTCGTGACTCAGTTTCACTGAGAGCAACTTTGTCGAAGTAAAACGAACGTGCTTCACCCCCGCTTCGAGGAGCTAGCTTCACATTCAGTCACAAATGAAAGCCATTTCAGGGGGGAGGGGGGTGGAATACAGATCGACTCAGGTTTTTATTAACCCTTTGAGGGACAGCGGTCACTAGAGTAGACAGCTTATCTTGTTATCAGGTTACAGTTTATCACTATTGGTGCATGAAGGGGTTAAAATACACAACAGAAAACTCCCCCTTTCATGTTCCATTCAGTTGGAACAAGGTCGCTCAAAGTACCACAAAGCCGAAATTCGTCTGTGCTATTTATTTTATTTTTTGTTAGAACCTAAATTATTGAGTCTCTTTGGAAGCGATGAAAGGACAGCACTTTATGTAATCAATAGATGGTGTCGTAAGCCTCCTCCTCTGTTAGAGATGTTTTTTTTTCAACCTTTATGGTCTGTCTCATCGAACTGTCTTCTTTCCCAAACTATGTTCATTTTTGTCCTCTGAAAAGCACTTTTTCTCGTTGAGACAGAGGCACTCTTGGCTCCGGAGTTCGACTTTCTGTCATTGATTATCGCTGCACCTCTATTGTCGTCACACTGATTGGAATGTATTTGTGACGTATTTTGATGCTTTAGAGAACATTTATGTCTGAATTTTGGTGGGGGGGGGGGCTTCGAACGGATTAGGGCATTTACATGGAAAACGCATCTCTACTGACAACATTTTCGAGTTAAGAAACTTCTTCCAGGACATATTAATTTCATAAGTAGAGGTGCCACTCTGTATAGTAATCCCTCAGTATTCGCGGTTAAAATAGGGATCGGAACCTCCTGAGAAAGATGCAAAACCGCAATGTTGGAGGCGCTGATGGTGTCGCTGAGGATTTTTAGATTGGAGAAAAACATTTTGTTGGGTAGCGCTACAACGTTCATATCTTCTAATTAGTTGAAATAGGTTTAAGGTTTCTTTTTTTATCAGACAAGGGTCTTTTTTTTTTTTTGTGAAGAGAAAAACTCGCATCTAGCCGACGGTTTCAACATCCATGCCATACTGTAGATCAGATTTTCTTATTGTACTTATTCCTTATGCTAATGAAACACCCCAGTTCAAAGATTTGGACACACGTTGAAAGTGTCAGATTTGTTCTTCAACTAAATTGGAGAGAGAGGACTATTCTTTGTTTGTCGTCTTGTGTTTGGGAAATACAGTGCATGCTTAGTTGCACAAAATCGACCTGATGCCGATTGGATCCCAAACATACATAATGGGTGATGTCTCACCCATCTTAAATCTTAAATTTGGTCATTGTGTGTATTTAACCCTATCATGCACCACATAACCTGATCACATAATAAGCTGTCTACAGTCGTACCTGCTGTCCCTGAAAGGGTTAAAAGATGCAATATTAGGTGTGACTTGTAATCTTTTTTTTCTCCCCCACCGCATTGTTTTTGCTCTGCACAACCACTTACCTTGTTTAAGAAATATGCCGATCATAAAAAAATGACTAAACTCTTTTTTTTTTTTTTTTTCTCTCCGTTCCAGGCACAACAGGAAACCCAGAAAGCTGCTCTAAGGTACGAGAGGGCTGTGTCCATGCACACTGCCGCCAGAGAGATGGTGTATGTGGCGGAACAAGGCCTGCTGGCTGACAGGAACACCATGGATCCAACCTGGCAGGAGATGCTCAACCACGCTACTGCGAAGGTATGCCGACCCTGACACTGAGTGAAAAACACCGTCATTCATTCATTTATCTTCATATTTACATCCCAATTACACATACATTCACCGTAATCTTTTGATTAGGGATGCTGAAGGTTCTATATCATATATATAAAAAAAACCCCACTGTACAGTATGTTACAGACCTTTATCAACATGCACTCCATAACAGGAGTCAGCAACATGTTAGCTGCGAACATGATGAAGCAGCATTTAGCTGTTATGCTGCGCGCAAATGAAATAAGTTGCCAACAGAAGTGAAGCCAGACCCAAGTCTAAATGCTTTTAAATCCAGGTTAAAAACAATGTTTTTTTTCCCCCCCAGTACTTCGATTGAGATCTTTTAGGTATTAAAAAAGGGCGGCCTGTTGGCCCAGTGGTTAGCGCGTCAACCTCACAGTGCAGAGGTGCCGGGTTCAATTCCGGCCCCGGCCTCCCTGTGCGGAAGGGAAAATGAATGAAAAAAAGGTATTTAAAAAAAGATCACTCTCACTCACATCTGGCGCCAAGGCCTTGAGTTTGACACCTGTCATGTTCAGTATGTCTTTTAACCCTTTCATGCACTAATAATGATAATGTGTAACTTGGTAAACAGTCCACTGTCGTAAACGCTGTCCCTGAAAGGGTTAACCTCTTCGACACCTTTGGGGTGAATGAAACCTGTACAGAATGCAAGTCCAAATTCTATCTGACCTCGCAAATTATGTTCTAGATCACAGGTGTCAAACTCAAGGCCCAGGGGCCAGATCTGGTCCGCCACATAATCTTCTTTGGCCCGCCAAAGCCAATCAAACATGTCAACTTCCATGATGATGAAAATCTCTTCCAAAAATTTAAAATTCTTATATGTACTAAATAAGAGAGATACTGTAGTGTCAACATTTTCTTGTTACCAAACCCCTCATGAGAGTAACTTAAAAAATAGTTGAATAAACCCTTCTTCTTTATATGCTTCCAGTCATAATGGCCCTCAAAGGGAAACGGTAACAGAAATATGGCCCGCGACAAAAATGAATTTGACACCCCTGTTCTAGAAAAATGGACAAATAGCTTTTGGATTACACACTACAAAATTCTGTTGCTATTTTGCCCATAGTAAAGAATAGTTTCTGGCTGCAAAGATTAGACCAGGCGTGGCCAAACCGCGGCTCGTATGCCGCTTGCAGCTCTTTGACTGGTTCAATGCGGCTCCCCCGGGCTTTCACACGACAGGTGTCGAAAACACCTCGGCGGTGGCGCTGCCATTCAAACAACGGCGCATACACCGAATTTTCTTCGTTAGCCTATCATCAATCCCGTTACTTGATTGACATACAGGGCAACCAGTCAGATGACAACTGAATCACCGCTCATGCGCAAACAACGGCGCAAAGCTAGTCAGCGAATTACCTCTGATTTTAAGGCACGGGTGCCCAATATGTCGATCGCAATCGACCGGGAGCCAGCGGACTGCTCCCAAGTCAACCGCGGGGGGGGGGTAAGGATCTGGGGGGGGGGGATCTTTGTGTGTTTGTGTGTTTCGGTTTCGTTCATGTTGGGGCCGTTCCGGCTGTTGCTCATCATGGCGTGCGTGCGTGCATATGCACGTGAGTGCATGCATGGTTGGGCGCCCGCGTGCATGCATGCGTGCGCGTGTATACGCTTGCACATGAGCAATCGGGTCGATCGTGGGAGGTTGGTCGCTTCAAAAGTCGATCTTCGGGCAAAAAAGTTTGCGCTATGTGGCAGGCTGACCCAAGTGGTAAGTAACCACTGCAGACAGTGCCTGCTTCGAGTGGCAACAACGGAATGCAAGCCAAATTCGAAGAGCATCGTTCAAGAGAAGGAATGCCAAAAGTCCCTGCACTAAGGCGCTAAGCAACATGCATAGTAAGAGAAAAACGTTCTTATATTTTTGTTTGTGGACTTGGGTGAACTGAGAGTTTGTGTGTGTGAGACACTGCACACAATATTCATTGTTGAAAATGACTGGCCTGTGGTCTTAGTACTGTTGGAGTCCATTTCTGTCATCATCATGTTGGTGTGTGACATTTACAATAAATGTGGCTGAGCAGAGGGGTGTGCGTGTGTGTGCGCGTGAGTAAGGGAGTCGGTGATGCTTCTGTGTGCACATGTGCATGATGTGACTCTTTGCAGTAACAAAGTAAAAAAAAAAAAATGGCTCTTTGTCTCTGACTGGTTGGCCACCCCTGGATTAGACCAACACCACATTGTTCTCGGCCTTCAGCTGCTGCCTGATATCGCAATAGCCGTGTCTCTCGCGCGTACAACCGTCTCCTTTAACCAGTCAATCTAAATAAGTTTATATAACGCAACATACAATTTTACAAAAATTGTAAAAGTATTATTCCTGAATATTTATTTCACTTTCAACCACTCGACATATTCAGTGGCATCAGTGCTATACATACACATATAGTTCTTATTTTTTTCTTTGTATTTTTGCCCTCTATGGACAATAAAAGCGGTATTGTGCTATGACCAAAACATAAATATAAATCTATATAAATAAAACATGAATTGGAATATTTCATATCACACACTTTTTATGCTGTGTCTTTGATTTAAAGATGACAATACGCAAAAATCTACAAAAATTGTAGAAATTTTAACATATGGGGTAACCAATGTGTTACAAACATCGTAGAAATTGCAGCACAAGGGTTTTTAAAGAAGAATATCAATTTTCTTCAAACCGAGCTCTTAATCTTCCTGAATAAAGTTGACTCGTTTAACTCATTCACTCCCAAAGACGTTTTTAAACGTCTTTTCAGACTTGGTCTAGAATTGGCTGGTACTGAATGAGTTTAGTATTGCGTGATCTCTTCATTTGGGGGCGCGGTGGGGGGGGGGGGTTCATTTGCAAGGGTTGACCTTTGTTTTCAGTTGTGATCGTGGAGCTGGCCATTTCTGTACACACGGTATGGATTACCCGTATAGATTGTGTGAGCGGAATCTGAATTCCTCACTTTGCATTCTCTCAATTTCTCCTCCTGTACTGTAGTGGCGTTCCTTAGTTTCCCGATCTTACCATTTTTTTCATTTACCTTTCTGTTTTTCACAGACTCAAGTAGCAACAGAAAAAACAAACAAACGATCTGAAAAATGTACATCTAAATTGTAGTTTTGATGTATTAGTCTCGATTTGTCAGAGAAAGGGATTTGAACTGCATTGCATTCACATCACACCCTGGCATTTACCGGAGAGACAGAACAAATACAGACACCCTGCTGCAGCTGACACCTGCCCGACAGCAGGAACACTTTGCATGTGTGGCTGCTTTTCGGCAGTGAGCATGAACACCATATTGCAAATCGAAAGTTATGGTCATTTAACGTCAGATGAGCCAAATTAAGACGAGGCTTAATAGTATGCGTGCGATGCCAAATAAAACCTGGACGACTGTCAGTGTCCCCGTCATTTCCTGCAATCAAAACCGCACATTATTAGGATCATAAAATAATCGTACACTGAATTCTTGAACATTTATCCAGTGCTGTTCACACTCAGTGTGTACACTCCGTTTCGTCATTTTAGGTTTGCTTGTAAAGACGACGTTTTCCCGTTGAGGTGTAACCAACATTAAAACCGCAGTGAGCAGCAGATGGAAAATCAACGAGAGCCTTTGCGCAATCATTGGCCATACATCTTTTCCTTTTACCGATGTACTTATTCATTATTTTGGCTGCTGTATGAGCGAAATCAATAAATACATTAAAAAAAAAAGATCTTAGCCGTACACGTCACACATTCACGGTTGATTGATAGCAAAACAAAATACAGGGTTCACCTGATATTCACGGGTATCGGGAGCGAGCAAACTTCTATGAGTACTGCAACTGTCACTCTCTAAAAAGGTTTATCATTTACTAACAATCCCACAAAATGGCAGATGAAGCAGTCCCTTTGTCTAAATGAAGCTCCTTAACTCACTTAGACAGAATTCATTGGCACCGAGATATCAAAAACTATGACTTCAAAAACTTTTTTTCGACAATTACCGGTAACCGATCGGGGTGGCTCGATACCACTTTTTCATATCCGATACTATGCCTTTATTCCAATACGAAGACTGCAGCCTCGAGGATCGGCCGACACAGATCCTATACCGATCCGATTCTTTTTGTCACTCAAAAAGTTGTTAATAATACACGGATGGAATATGCTTGATATTGACGTAAAAAAAAAAAAAATCACTATACAACAACTGTTATGGTCTGCTAAAGAAAGAAGGAACATACCCTGAAGTTATGTGTGGCTGCTGTGGTGTTATTAATTCTTAAAGCTCACATATGATATCACAACATTTTAACTCATTCACTCCCAAAGACGTTTTTAAATGTCTTCTCAGACTTGGTCCAGAATTGGCTTGTACTGAATGAGTTAAAGATTGCTGACCCAGCTGCACCATTCAAATGTTTGAAATAAAATTAAAGTGCAACTTTAGTGCAAAAATAATTCCAATGTATCAATGATTTTTTGAAAAATCAAATTATACATCGGTGATTTTGCAAAGCTGCAATAATTTGTTTTCTGAATTAACATAAAATTAATGATCGTAAGATCATTCAGTTGAAGATAGACGATATCGTTTGGGTTTATGGATTGGATCGGACTGGTTTGAATAAAAACAATCCAGTAGCAATCCAGTCAGTTTGGCCTGGATCGGACCCGACCATCCCTAATAATCAAGGAGAGGTTCCCCGAAAAAAATCTGCAAACATGTTTGGCCTGTCCAGCCCTTCTGTTTGGTTGTCTTTGTGAATTAGCCGTACTATGACTAAGCACGGACTGGTTGCCGATTCGAAAAGTCACAGCTTCCAAAATAGCCCAATCCGGAAACATTTAGGACATAAACGCAAAAGTACAGATCATCACGAAGCAAAACGTTCAGTAGCGTGATAATTCCCGATTCAACAGCAAATGTGGGAATGATAATATCAATTGCGCTAATACTGATAATCAACATCTGAGCGAATGATGCAGACGGTCATTAAGAAACACTACATTAAAATGTCTAATAGTGCGGCAATATTGATCAACAATAGTCATGGAAATGATGCAGAGCGACAGAGCTGCAATGATGAATACAAACAATCGTGATGGCACTACGGAAATGTGCAACGTTGGCAAACTGTCACCAGAAAATGATTTGCTTCAGATGTTAATGTTGCCATTAACGTCTGAAACAAATCAGAAAGATGCTATCGGAATGCCTGCTGGGTTTAGCGTGTATTGTTTGGTTGCACTAACCAGAGGGAAGGACCTGTGATGTGGTCGTGTCCGTTGAGTCCAAAAGAATTTTGCCTGCCTTGGCGCTTGCAAAATGCAAATCTATGACCTTGCTGACAGGTTTGGCTGTCGCTCCAGCCTTTGTCATGTTATTTACCGTATTTTCGGTGAAGCGCTTTGTTACAGCTGCAGCGGTTGTGAAGGCTCTACATAAATAAAGCTGTGTTGTCATGTATTCCTTTAGTGTAACTCAACCTAGTGGATGCATAATGCAACTGCAGCCACTATTGTCGTTTCTATGTGCCTTATAATATGGTGCTCCCTATATTTGAAAACTGTTTTAAAATAGGCCCTTCATTGAAGATGCGCCTTTTTCTCCGAAGTGCCTTATAGTGCGGAAAATACCGTAATTTCCGGACTATAAGCCGCGACTTTTGTCACACGCTTTCAACTCTGCGGCTTATTTCATGAAGCGGCTTATATAAAGACTTTTCTAACGGCCGCCTGTGTACCGTCTTTCTTTGTAAATATCTCATGTTACAATATGGGCACCTGCGGCTTATACACAGGTGCGGCTTATGTGTGTACAAAATATTTTTTTCCTTTAAAAATGTAGTGGTGCGGCTTATAATCAGGTGCGGTCTATAGTCCAGAAATTACGGTACTGTGCTTTATTTTGACAAATTCAACACATTTGGGATACAGTACAGTTAGTATCAAATATGTCGCTAGTGTATTTTAGCCTGTAATTTTGTACAATGTTGACCCTGTTTGGCTTAAAGTATGTTCCACCCCAAATTCCCACCTTTGGACCCAAATATCCTTTTCTTAAAGTGTACATTGAAAAATCACGTTGTATAGTTAGCCCAGATTAGACCCAGGTCTGTTCCAATAAATCGTTGGAAATATCAAATGAACATCTCATGGGAAATATGAAATATCATGTAACCACTTGACAAAATCAAGCACATTCAACCAAAAACCGAAAGTCTATGTGATCATGAGAGAGAAACGTGAACCTTTTGCTTATTAGGTGAATGAGGCTGAGGAAGAGCGCTTTCGCAGTGAGCATGAGCACCAGCGGGTCACCCAGCTATGTCAGGACGCTGAGGCTAAAGTCCAAACGCTCCAAAAATCACTGAAGAAGGTCATACTCAAGTCCAAACCCTACTTTGAACTGAAGGCTCAGTTCAACCACATACTCGAGGTATGTACCTGAAGCATTTCCAGATCAGATTTTCTTTTTTAATTCTTACAATTTTTTTCAGGTTATATTTCGTTTCATTTCATATAATGTCTTGTTTTCCTGTGTCTCATGTTCATGTCCTGCCTTACCCGTTCACCTGTTCTGGTTGTCCCTTGTGTCCACCAATCAGATTCCTCAGGCGATGTGTCTCACGTTTCCTCATTTTGGTGAAAAATGTGTTTCTTTGTGCTTCTTTTGTATGTTTCACTGCACTTGGGTCTTCCACACTCCACCACCTCAAACCTCGAACCATGTCACTCTGCTCACTACAGCTGCTTTTACATCGATGTCCAAACCAGCTTTTCATGACTTTTTCCTGGCTTGCTGCCATTTGTGTTAGGGACCGATTGCGGACCATGGATGGACCCACAAATTTGCATGCTTCCAATATTCTTATCAGAGGTTTAACAGAGGCAGAATGTCGATAATGTTCAAGAGAATATGAAGTTTCCCAAGACTCGCTGCCCACACCGTTTTGAACCAGTTGTCGTGTTGCGCTGACGTCACCATGCATCTAATTACCCGCATGCTCAAAATTGCAACGTGTGAAGAAGCACTTGGGAGGCTGTAAGTGTCCTGAAAATTTAACGGCTGTCTCTGTAGCTGCAAATTGAAACATTTTATCGATTTTGCCCCTAGTTGTAAGTTACAGATATGAACGGTGACATACTTGCTTGACTTTGGCATCCTTAAAAATAAAAGTAGAGTAAATCAACGGCTAAATAAATGAATAAATAAATAAATCTCACTTCAAGTAGGATGTTGAATTATATCCCTGTAATAATTATTACTCGAGGACAATTCCGATGATTACTGTATTTTCCGCATTAAAAGGCACTTCGGAGTACAAGGCGAACCATCAGTGAATGGCCTATTTTAAAATTGTTTTTATATATAGAGCACACCGGATTATAAGGCGCATAGAATAGAAGCTACAATAGTGGCTGGGGTTGCTTTTTGCATCCACTAGATGGAGCTATGCTAAAGGGAATACAATACAATACGGCTGTATTTATTTATCGCTTTCACAACCGCTGCTGCTGTAACAAAGTGCTTTACAGAACATTTAAAATACTACGTCCAAGAAATCAGAATATTGATCCATATATAAGGCACATCGGACTATAAGGCGCACTGTCGGCTTTGGAGAAAATTGAATGCTTTAGTTTTTTTGGGGTTTTTTTTCTCTTCTATCAAGACTGCAGAAACACAACCCAGGTTTTTCCATTTCCAACAAATTTAGTGGAGACTTTGGGAACAGTTTTGCACAATATTGCATTTTTTTTTTTTTTTTATCCTTGCTTATGCTCTTAACCTCAAGCTTTTTTATTCGGCCTGAAATGATAATGGTCATCAATCCGCGCATTGCTTATACTCGTCGACTTGTGTGGCCCAGAGCGATTAAAAGTGGAAGTTAAGGTATTCCACCGAAAGTGATTCATTTTAAGTTGGAGAACAAGTAGACTGGAACTTTTCCTTGTCGTGCTTAGCTGCTTGAGCCGTGTTTCTTCCAAGTACGTGTCACTCCTACTCGCCACGGTACACAATGATATTGCCCGTGTTTCCACTGCAAATCTTTTTTTTTTTTTTTACGAGCGTTGACCAATCCCACAGTTGTGATGTCAGCCCAATTTAGAATCTTCGGGATGGTGGTGGTTAGCCACGATAAAAAAGCAAATAACTCACTCATTGTTCACGCACAACAGATGCGCGGGCGCACACTCACATCTGTCTACATTTGGACGTGATCGAAAAGTGATTCACTGTTGGACTGTAGGTCAACGCGTGGGTCGGACTGGAATGTGAAGTGATTGATGTGCTGATTAGTCTGATTAGTTTCATTTTCAGTGATTAGCCAGCAAGTGGATGCTAGTGTCATATACACACCCACCCATTTGTTCATTAGGCTTGAAATAACATTTTTAATCTGGTGAAGTCTGGTGTGTGATTATTATTATTATTTTTTTGTTTGTTTTTTCACTATTTGTCCTTTCATTGACCTGCCGCATGCCCCAGAATCCCTGGTGTCTGGGAGTTTAAAAATAGCTTCCCCCACTTTGTTTTTCTCAACTTGGGCATAAGCAGCCTGCTTAAAATGCTGCGTGTCAATGTTCAAAATATGTGTTTTAATGTTACGTTTGTGTACCACGTCTTAATAAAATTGAATACATGAGCGAGTGAATTCTCCTTTGGTTTCCGTTTCCTATTCATCTTCCCTGATTTTTGTCTTTCAGGAACACAAGGCCAAAGTAGTACAACTGGAGGAGCAAGTCGCAAAAGTCAAAACGCGTTATTCGGTGGCTCTGCGGAACCTGGAGCAGATAAGTGAGCAGATCCATGCACAGCGAGGCTACGTCTGCGCAACCGGGGGCCGGCGAGCTACGCGTGGTGGCCGTAGCTCCCCAGTTGGTGCCGAGGCGGAGACCGGAGTTGCAGTGAGGGTTCCGATCGGTAGCTTTGTAGGAATGGCTAAGGCAGAAAGTGCCTGGGTAGATGGTGAGAGAACGCGGCTGTGGGTGGAGAAGCACCGGCGGAATGGCTGGGGCAAGAGAGAGGAGGCGGAAGCGTTTCACACCGGTTCGGACCGTATGTCCATCATCAGCCTCCAGACCATCGCTTCTGACCTGGAAAAATGTGATTCGGTAGAACATTTGAGCGACTTTAGCGATGGCAGGAGCGCGCTGGATGAGGAGTGGGACTGGAATCGCAAGACTCCGCTCAGGCCCAGCAAAGAGGCAGAAGTTGCTCTCAGACCCCAGCGGGCCAAAGCGCGGCAGCAGAACGAAACGGGTAGTCAAGAGAAGCAGGACAGCTTTGTCAAGCAGCACCACAGAAGCGTGAGTCTCTAATGTGTGGAGAAAGCCAGGAAAGGTGCTGAATATTTTGGACATGTTTATTTAATTCGTCTGTCGTACTCGTCGTTTATTGATTTATTTATGGTGACTGGTTCGCACGTCAGCTTGACAGTGCAGAGGTCCGGAGTTAGTTTCCGTGGTTCGTATCCGGGCTCCGTCCTTCCTGTGTGGAGTTTGCATGTTCTCCCCGTGCCTGCGTGGGTTTTTTTCCGGGTACTCCGGTTTCCTCCCACATTCCAAAAACATGCATGGCAGGTTAACGGAATAACTTTAAACTGTCCTGAGGTGTGATTGTGGATGGTTGTGCCCTGCGATTGGCTGGCAACCAGTTCAGGGTGTCCCCAGCCTACTGCCTGGTGACGGCTGGGATGGGCTCCAACACACCCGCGACCTTCGTGAGGATAAGCGCATTAAAAAATGGATAGATGGATTGTTATAAACACAAAACGGAGAAATCGCATGTCGATCAATTTTCACGTTCTTTGTTGAATAATCTCCGAACGCACTTATTACAGCAGTTACAGCTTTTTATTTTGTACTTTTTGAACCTCTTTCTGCCTTTCTGTTTTATTCGTGTTATGATTTGTTCTTATCCTGGAATAGCATTCGTGTCATTGCTTTCATTTGGATTCAAAAAGGCTTGCGCGTTTCTTATGTTTGTATTGAAAGGCGCGTGTACATAGCAAGGCGGTTTCATTTACGGTGTTAATCGGAAGGACGGTTCTAGTTGTTCGGCACAAAAATCTTCACTGGCTTCGATTGAACCTTGATTGAAATGATAACTCGTTTGCAAACTGTTTTTTATGCTCTTATGGACCGGAAAGAGAAAAAAAAAAATTTATTATTTAGCTGTCTGTTGTACATTCCCAAACAATGGATCTTCTCTTAAGTTGCTGAGCTGTCATTATTTGCAGTATTTAAATTAGCGGTTGTGAGGAAAGAGGAGTGCACTAACTGACCTCTGATGTGCCAAACAGTTTTAACCCTTTCAGGGACAGCGGTTACTACATTGGACAGCTTGTCATGTGATCATGTTACAAGATGCATGAAAGGGTTCAAGAGCGCTTCCAGTAAGTCAGTGTTTTGACTAATTGCGTGAAACAAAACTAAGCAGATCTTGTATTTTGCTTTTGAAATGAAGAAGCCTTGCGGTTTCTAATGGGGGGGAAAATATGTTAATTTTGTTTTTTAAAGTTTGCCTGAGTTATTTAATATTCAGAATACATTTTAGAAAATGTTTGCAATTATTGCATCATGTTATGTAAGTCTGCCCTTGAGCTAATTTCCCGTCTTCGTCAAAGCGTCCTTATTTTTGACATTTAGAGCTTCTAGAATTTATATATAAGATCGAATCAAAAAAAAAAAAAACAGATCTTGGTTTCATCTCTCCACAGAACATTATCCCAGATGGGCCGACAGTTTGTCCAGGTAGTCGTTGCCAAAGACAATGTCCAATGTTTTTTTTTTTTGTTTTTTTGTTTTGTGGGGTGGAGAATGAGAAATTATCACAGTCATCAATATTTTTCATTTGGCATGTTTCCAGCTAAATGATACAATTCACCTGACAAAAGTGGACTTTATTTCAGAATCTGGCCCCTGGTAGAAATAGTTTTGGGCTTTGGTCCATATGCTCACTGGTTGTGTTAAAAAAAAAAAATTAAATAGTAACACAGGTCAACAGCAAACTTTAATCCGGTTGTGTCCATATCACCTGAAAGTATTTTAAGCAGATGGAAAAAAAAAAGGATACTTTTTTCCCTGACTTTTTTCCGTATTAGGTTTGTGAGGGTTTGATTGATTTTTGTTTTTAATTTTTGACCTACAAAACCTCGGGCATTGATATCAATAACGTTTCAGGAAAAAAAAAGTCCACCTGTTGCCGAACCTAACCCTTAATTCACATTATTTAATATAGTATAGGGCGGCCCGGTAGTCCAGTGGTTAGCACGTCGACTTCGCAGTGCAGAGGCACCGGGTTCAATTCCAGCTCCAGCCTCCCTGTGTGGAGTTTGCATGTTCTCCCCGGGCCTGCGTGGGTTTTCTCCGTGTACTCCGGTTTCCTCCCACATTCCAAAAACATGCATGGTAGGCTGATTGACCACTCTGAATTGTCCCTAGGTGTGAATGTGAGCGTGTATGGTTGTTCGTCTCTGTGTGCCCTGCGATTGGCTGGCAACCGGTTCAGGGTGTACCCCGCCCACTGACCGAAGACAGCTGGGATGGGCTCCGGCACCCCCCGCGACCCTAGTGAGGATCGAGCGGTTCGGAAAATGAATGAATGAATAATATAGTATATATTATTGCTGTAATATTTTATTATTATTAATAACCTGATGTACCAGAGGGGGAAAGAAAAGAAAGATTCAAATGTTTTTTTTTTTTTTTTAATTTATTCCAGTTCTCGAGTTAGGTCTGATTTTGTACAGATGGAGATTTGTGTTTCTGACTTGACATACGAATATTTCGGGAAACATCCTAATATTGCACATCCTGTTACTCGGTTAAAAATGGTTTTGCACAAATGTCTTTGCACTTATATTTGGTCACTGGTATGCCGTTTTTGCAGTATTGAGCGTTATTCCATAGGCACAGGGGAGTTGAAAGAAACAAATGTTCAACTGTCAAATTGAAATTGTCAGTATTAAAAAGTAATATAGTTTATGGTTACAGTTACCAAGCTTCACTCATTCTTGAAATGACTCACTTGGGGGTGTTTTCGAAAAAAAGCATGATTTCAAATCTTGGCATGTTGAGCTACACGTTCGCAATCTGCACTTAAAAAAAAAAGGATTTTACTCAATGCCTTCTTGAGGATAAGCGGATCGAGTGATTGATAATTTACTCAGTTTTCTTTCCTCAAGCAGTTGCACGAAATAAAATCATCTGGATCCAGATAAATGTTTTTTTTTTGTAGATGTACAGCAGGGGTCGGTAACCTATAACTCGTGAGCCAGATGTGGCTCTTTTGATGATTGCATCCGACTTGCACATAAAACAAAATATTCTCGCTTGTTTCATCCATGCATCGATTTTTCACTGCTCAAGTCCTGTTCAGGGCTGCAGTTGGTGGCAGGAGCAATTTTCATTGGATGATACTGGCCTACGTCGGCCGTTGCTGGGGAAGCAGGTAAACGCCCCCTTTTGAATCAGCCTGCACGGTCATTAGCTCAAAGCTAATCCTTCGATGAATACGACGGGGAAAAAAGAAAAAAAGGTGTATGGTACACGTCAGGAAGAATGAACCGAAGGATTCACCTTTGTGGAAAAAACAGGTTCTGCGGTATGTCTAATTTGCAATGACAAAACACCATCGATGAAACGGTCGAATGTAAAGCGGCACTTTGACACGCGCCATGCTACGTTCGCATCAAAATACCCTGCGGGAGACAGCAGAAAGGACGCGCGCAAGCTATTAAGCAGAGTGCAAGCTAGCCAGCAGCAGCTCCGCATACGGACCTGGCAAGCTGACTATAATTTTGCTAGCTTTGCTTAACCATCCTGAGGAACGGAAAACCATTCACATTAATGGTGAGTTTTGTCACAAAATTATTTAAAATAATACATTCAGAGGCTTATTATACTGACATTTTGCTGAAGTACATTTCCAAATATTTTGCTTTCATGGCTGTCTTAGTCAAAAATGTTTCCGACCCCTGATGTATAGTCTGCTGTCAAAAATGTTTCTGGATTCAAATGTTTTTATTTCGTGCAACTCTATGACCACATTTTTTTTTTTCCCATAAATTCAACAAAAAACTTTTTTTCAGTGTGTGCGGGTATTGTAGAGAAGGTATTTCACCAACAATAATATTGTGATTTGGTGATGGTCTCCACTCGACGTCGTATTTACGCAACTGAATAAGGCAAATGGAACAAGCGTCCATCCACATCCATCCGAGCCGCTTATAAATTCAATTCTAAATCGACCGGAGAGCCAATACAGTGAAACGAGCACCACGGGGATCAGTTCTCAGACTAGAGCATTTTGGATCAGCTGGAGAGTATTTCACGACTCACTCGAGCAGCATGCTAAGAGAGTTACAATAGAAGTGACAATGAACGTAAACTGTTTCACCCTTTCAGCGACAGCGGTCACTACAGTGGACAGCTTATCATGTAATCAGGTTACAGGCAGCATGAAAGGGTTAATTTGGCCTGAACTCCCGTGACTTTTCCTTTTAAACATATGAAACATGGTTGCGCTATTTAGGTCGACGAGTGCGTATACAACTTCGACGTCATCCAATCTGTCTGCGCGACATGCGGTCACGTCGGCTGACATCCAATTCATATTGGATTTTCGTCCGCAGGAGACAGGCGGGGAAAAATAGAAGGCCACGTGATTTGGAGTACGATACGAGAAAAAGCAGGAGGAATATGAAATGAAGTGACCAGAAAATATCATACCGTATGAAGAAAAAAAAAATGCCTTCAACCCCCGAAGACTTGGTGTCACGAAAATGTCATAATTTCAAGTACAATACTAAACATA